GCTGAGGAGGACCTAGGTTCCCCCGATTTTAGTGAAAGCGACGATCTACTCAAGGTGGGGATCAATTTGGCCCACGAGATGGGACGCCTCGGGGAAGTGAAGTGGACGGTGATGAGTGGAGTGTGGGTTGAGCTGTTGACATATGCAGCAAGTCATGCTAGGGGAGAGGCACACGTGCAGGTGCTGAGCAAAGGCGGAGAGCTTCTTACCTTTGTTTGGCTGTTGATGGCTCATTTTGGTTGTTTCTACAAACCTGAATTGGGCATGTGTTATGAACCCCGCGCGTTGGGTAGATATGGATTTTAATTGCGACCACAAAATCCGCCAAACCAAGTCAAGAATGAAGAAGCAAACTTGGCCCGATTGATTCACGAAAACAATAAACGTGGAAAGGACGCTTGTCTTGTTTTCTTTTCTGGCATCCATATGAATCCTGTCTTTCCTTTCAAGCTTCCAACATCTCCATGTCCAATTCCACATCCTCCCTCTTGTTGTTCATTAGCCTTACTCTTTGCCCTTCCAAATGGTTCTCGCCCCCTTGTTTTATTCACCCGTGTGAGGGCAGTAGTGTTGGTAAGATTAGGCCATCAACTTCTTTGTAATCCATCTTGTTTACACTTTCTATGTAATTTCCCATGTTTAACTTTGGACTTTGAGAATAAAATCCTCGCTTTCTTTTATCATAAAATACAGTCAATCCTCCGCACAATCGTTACTGAACTTGCTGGCAACGTGGACCGAATTAGTGGATGTTTGGGACGGATTCTAAAGGTCGACTCGTCTTTTGAAGTTGATATGTTACCTTTTATATACGCTTGTATGAATATTTTCTCAATGACGGGATTAAAACCTAGTTCATATATGTTGTTTTTATCAGCAACCAGATTCGTTGATTCATGGATTATTAGAATGTGTTTCCTTAAGAACACGAATTAGAGAAGTTCCATACTATGTAATGCTGTTGACACAAATACTCGGCACTTAAACAACGATGGGATCTTGCGCATATTTACCAGCTCTTTTCTACGATGTAAATTTACTACCCCTATTTATATTTTAATGGTTGATGACTGCCGGCTAGGGGCAGATGCTTATCACTCCGGCGAAGTGAGCATTGCCGTTCTTAGTTTGAACCTGTTTTATCTTTTTTCCTATCATTGGGGGGGTGTTTTTTTTTTCCCCCACCCAAACAAAACAAAAAAAAAAATAAGCCCGCCCCCAAAAAAAAACAAAAAAAATAATAACCCCATAATAAGGGCCGTCGGGCAGTCCATTCTCGGGCTAATTGGCAAGTTGGCCCAGATCTTAACCCGAAAAAACTTAGATCCTTACCTGAAACACAAACCGACCCGTTTTAGTTCTGCGTTTTCCCTGTCAAAGATCCGACTGGTAGATGTTCCGAACCAAAAACGGTTCGGGTTATCGGGCCAAGGGCTTTTTGATTTTGACTCCCCTATCAGTAGTTTTTCTGTGTAACAGTCGGTCTGTAGATTTTGTATAAACCAAATGAGAAAAATTCTGACACTACTTCCTCTATTTTTGTTTTTGGGTTCGATATGCTCGGGTTCTGTCACCTTTGGGGGGAGGGAGATTGGCTTCCTCTGCTTCCCGATTGCAAATATCTTATGCTAAACACCCGTCGCCGATCATGAGAACGTCATTGCATATCGAACACGATAGAAAAATTTCACCGCAGGCGGAGAAATTGGTCGTCGAGATGGTTCGACCCTTCTGGAAGTCAGTAAAATTCCCATCGAAACTAGCCCTTTTTGAGTAAATAGTATTTACTAAATACGGTAGTATTTGTACCTTTATGCTTAGAAAAATGACAGGAACACAGCATCATATGGAGGAACTGGTTTGGACCCCTCGAGTATATTTACTTCGGCCTTTCGTTTCTGCTGATGCTCTGGACTTACGACAATCACATTTTATCCTTTATATATATTTTTTGTTAATGTGAAAAATGGGTTATTTTGTTTTCATTGTTGTGGAAATAACCGGTAATTTTTAAATGCAATTTAGAATCTCATAATTCTCTCCCAATGCTATTATGATCTCTCTCTCTCTCTTTCTCTCTCCGTGTTCTACTTACTAGTAGACATGATCAACGGGCAAGCGCCCATGGGGAAACTAATTTTCTGAAAATTATTTCACTTTTAATTCATTTCATAATCAGATTGAAACATATAAATTTTCCCAATAAAAGACATTGTTTAATTGCATTTTTTTTTCTTTATAGTGATTTTTGCAATATACATTACCCACAAGAAATTTTAAGTGAATTATATTTAAAACCATGCATTACGCGCGAAATTCGCTAATTAAGAAAAATATGAAGGTGGGAGTTTTTGACTAATCGTTCTAATTTTGGACTAATCAGTAACGACATGTTAAGATTGTGACTTAGTTTGGAATTATGGTTTACCCCTCATTTAACATTATTCTGTATTTCTCTTAAAAAAAAACATTGTACTATGCAAGTGACTTAATGACATACATGAGCTTTTCATGGAATCATGTATTTGTTAAAGTTCGACATTGAACCTTGTTTCGAATTTGTTCTTTAATTTTTAAATTAAAAGTACACGGAAAACAATCGATACATAGTCTGCCTATACCAACAGATGCCTACGGCATCGATCGCTATTATAATATTGCGTGGTATTACGGAAAGTCTAATTTAATATCTAAAACTTAATGCCAAATTGACATATGAGGTTGGATTGACTGGATTCTGATTGAATGCTAAGGCCAAAAGAAAATGTCTTAAATAGGTAGTGATTTTATCTCCTTTTCTCTATTTTTTATGGTCTCCATATTTTTATCTTAGGGTGCATTCGTTTCACGGAAAATGAATAAAAATGATTGCTTATATCGTTTAAAAAAATTAGTTAACACAAAATGTTTTCATCATCGATAACAATTAATGCCTAGCTATTTTTTTGGGCGATGAAAAAATTTTCCATTCATTTTTTTCTGTAAGCGATAAAAGCGATTATTTTTTTAAAAATGTTTTCCAAATCACTTATTTTTCGCGAAACGAACGGATCTTTAATTAGGAAATATTGAATGTTTATTTTTTTGTCGAAAGGAAATATTGACTGTTAATTGACAATAAATTATGAACTGACTGATTAGGAAATATCTCGAAGAAAGGATCGTTTTCGTGGGGTAGGTTCTGCCGTAGATGGAAAATAAGTCATAGAGGAGGAAAGTAGATATTATCAACTAATTATAGCAATTATTTGTCCATTTATTCTATCAAAACATATGGTAATTAGTGCTTGAATAATTGGTAATTAGATATTTTTTTCTCCTTTCAAATTTTTTTAGTTCTTTTTTAGTCGTACACCGGTAAGCAATATTTTCTTTTCCCAGTAAATAAAAAATTAATGAAAAAAATTATGAATCTACGTGTAAAATTTCATGATATCACCATCAATTATTCTAAAAATTTGAATTTAAATGGAAAATGGCCCAAATAGTCCTTGAATTTTGGCCCAATATACAATGTGGTCATTGACTTTTAATTTGATCAACGTGGTCTCTGAACTTTAACCCAATGTGCAATGTAGTCCCTAAATTTTTTGTTATCATTCAATAAAATCCCTAAATCAATGAAAGTGTTTGATGTTGTCGTTCCATTAATTCACATTTTCTATAGTTTAGGGACTTGATTAAACATAAACCAAAAGTCTAGGGATCACATTGAATAAATTAAAAGTTTAGGGACAACATTACTCATCGAAATAAAGTTCAGAGACCACATCAAATAAATCAAAAGCTCAGAAACCACATTGAATATTGGTATCATTATACCTAAAGGCCAAATTCCAACAAAAAAAAAGTACTGAATTTACCTTGAGTGACAATTTTAGCTCGTACTTTTTTTTTCTCACAAAAAATAACTAACTTTCGCTTAAATCCCAAATCTAACCCAAACAATTTGAAAATTTTATATCACGGAGGCCAGATTTGAGACTCGAGTAAAAGTTCACACTCACAATTCAACTTAACTCCTAACCAAAGCTATAAGAGATGGTGACTAAGCCAAAGCGCGCGAGTGCACCGTATTGTATGCCAATAGAATAGAAAGTCTTCGGTACGACTCTTCTTTACTCTGTTCACCCCTCTCCTGACGAACGCAAGGCAGGTGCCACCCAATCGGATTCGAATATGTAATATCATAATAATAATGGTAGAAATGGAATCACTTTTTTTTTTTGGATATTCTATCCAAAATTCCATAAGTCTAAGGCCCGTTTGGCAAGTTGCTAAACAATGAAAATTTATGTTCCGTTGTTCTCAGAATCAATTTTGAAACAGAAATCCGTTTGGTAAGCATTTTGTTTCCAGGCACAAAATTGCAAAAAATTGTTCCCATAATTAATTTTGGAATTAATCAAAATGCAAAAAAAGTAACTTTTAATTCGGGAACAAGAATCGTAATTGGAAATTAAATTATTTTTTCTTCTTCTTCTTCTTTCCCGCTCTTTCTCGTTTTCTTCTTCTTCATTCTTTTTGCCTGGCCGGCCACCGCGACACAGTGAGAGCCTGAGGGTCGCCAGTCCGCCATGCGAGGGCAACCCTTGCCGACCTTTCAACGCCTATGGCCAAAGAACCTGCCATAACCAAGAAGGAGGAGAAGAAAAAAAAAAAAAAATATTAAAATATTTAAAAATATTATTAATAAAAAGAAATTTGTGTCGTTATCAAACGCATTTTTTTTTTCATATTCCAAGAATGGAAATTTTGAGGCGTTACCAAACGCCTTCAAATACTCAGAATCAGTTCCCGGACACAAAATAAAAAAGAATCATTTCTTAGCAGAATCAGACACAGAATCGTTACTATGCGCATCCTAAGTGGCATTTATTAATTCCTTTCGATTTTGAATCTGTTACAAATTCCAATTCGAATAGGAGATCGTGTTTATTCCTTCGTTTATACGCATTTCATACATTCCATATACCCCTTTAAAAAACAAGTAAAGATTAAAAAAACAAAGAAGGTCAATTCACGGTATCCATGGCGGCGAGTGCATGTCCAGGCTCTCTCTGTCCGCTTTGCGGACGACATCGAATCTTAGCCGTCGCAGGTGACGATAATGGCGAAGAAGTAGAGCAGCAGCAGCAGCGGCAGCGGCAGCAAGAAGAAGATGATGATCGCACGAGCCTCCTGCCCGATGGCGTCGTCCACCACGTCTTCTCCTTCTTGCCCACCAGCGACGTCTTCAGGAGCCGCGCCCTGTCGGCCCGGTGGCGCTCCCTCTGCGACACCGTCCCGACCCTCGCCTTCTCCCTCCCCCGGCGGGGCGGCGGCGGGGGCTCGGCGGCGGAGGCGGCGGAGGACCCGTTCTGCTCCTTCGTCGACGCCGTCCTCGTCCTCCGCTCCTCGGACCACATCGCAAAATTCCACCTTGATCTCCCCCACCTCCCTCCCAAGGTGGAGTCCAAGCTCGCGTCCTGGCTCTGGTTCGCCACCGCGTGCCGCGTCAAGGACCTGCGCCTCGAGCTCCCGCGCTCCGAGAAGCGCTACCCGGTGCTGCGGTCAATCCGCGATTGCCCTTCGCTGGTGGAGCTCCGGCTGTGCGGCGGCCGAGTGGGGCTCGAGTCATCGAGCGGCGTCATCAATTGGGCCTCCCTGAGGGTTCTTTCCATGGCGTGCTTGCGATTGACGGACGACGAGATGAGGGCGGTTCTCGCGGGCAGTCCCGCGCTCGAGTCCCTCGAGCTGCAGCGTTGTGGCGGCGCTGCCCGAATCGAGGTTCGCTCTAGGAGGATGAGAGAATTGGTGATCGACGGGTGGAAACACCCGTCGTCCCACAGAGGCTCCCCGCGGCTGGAGGTTTCGGCTCCTCATTTGGAGACGCTGCGCCTGCGGGGTGACTTCCCCAGGATGGAGTTGAGATTGGCCGAGGCCGGCTCCGTGACCGAGGCCGAGTTGGATTTCTCCATGAGGGTCGACCGCGACGATCGGTTTGATTACTACAAATGGCCGCGCAAGTTGGCGAGGGGTATTCTTCAGAAGCTGCGCAATGCCACTAAATTTATATTTGGGTGTTGGTACCTTCAGGTGGGGATTTGGTACTACTTGTGTTTTGCCTCTTGAATTTAGTCTTAGTCAAGATGGTAGATTCGACTTCACATTTATATCTGTGGATGAACCTCAACTATTATGCTATTAAGAAATGGTGACACTTGGTGATTAGTTAAATGATTAGCTCTGATAGCAGACTGATGCCTGGACATGTCGAAGCACATGCTTAGGTAGCTCTGGAGCCCTGGTCTGTCATGTTCATGGATTATTAGAATCTGTTTGCTTAAGAACATGAATTAGAGAAGTTTCGTACTATGTAATGTTGTTGCCACATATTGAGGACTTAGCCAACAATGGGATCTTGAGCAAATTTACTAGCTTTTTTCTATCATGTTAAATGTACTCCCCTTTTTATATTCAATGGTTGATGACAGCTGACTAGGGGCAGATGCTTATCGCTCCGGCAAAGCAAACATGTCGGTTCTTAATCTGAATCTGTTTCTTCTTTTCCTTTCTTCAGAATCATGTCCGTTCACGGGCACATTGGCAAGCTGGCTCGGATCTTTACCGAAAACACAGATGCACCCATTTCAATTCTGTGTTTTCCCTGTCCCAAACATTGAAAAACCAACTGATAAATGTTCTGAAACAAAAAAGGTTTGGGTTATCGGGCCAAGGGCTTTTTGACACCCCTATCGATTGTTCCATAGCCCTGAATGGTGACATATGTTGCAGTGATTTTTTGGGTGATAGTAGGTCCTGATTTCGTGATGCGGTGGCAATACCTTCTCTTTATGGCTTTGTAATGGTTGGCTTCGTTTGTGGTGTGAACCCTGGTTTATTCTCGAAAATTAGATCCTGTAATAGGATTATGGTTTCTGTAGGTTTTGTATGAACTGAATGAGAAAAATTCTGACAATTCTTCCTCTTTTATGTTTTTGGATTGGATGTGCTCAGGTTCTTTCACGTTTGGAGGAGGGAGATTTGCCTCCTCTGCTTCCCAATTGCAACTCTCTTATACTGAACACTCGCTGTCGATCATGGGAACGTCACTGTATATTGAACATGATAGAAAGTTCACCGCAGGTGGAGAGATTGGTCATCAAGATGGTTCAACCATTCTGGAAGTCGGTAAATTCCTATCAAAACTAGCTCTTTCTGAGTAGATACAGTAGTATCTGTACCTTTATGCTTGGAAACTTTACAGAAACATAGCATCATATAGAGGAACTGATTTGTTCCCCTCCAATCGAGTAATTACTGTCTTTACTGCTGCCTTTCGTTTCTGCTGATCCTCTCGACTTACGACAAGCACATTTCTAATTTTTTTTATGAATGTGAAAAAAAGGGTTGGTTTGTTTTTCATTGTTGTGGAAATAGGCGGAAATTTTTAGATGCAATCTAGAGTCTCATCTCTTCGAATGCTATTATGATCAATTTGAGGTCTCTCTCTCTCTGTGTTCTACCTTCAGCTTTAATATTCTTACTACTAGACATGATCAACAGGCAGGCGGCCCGCCGGGCTTGGCTGAATAAGGCCTGGACAAAATCCAGGCCGACTGGTCCACCCATATGTTTATCGGAAGGAATTATATTGTGTTTTATTAATAATTTTTACTTGGATAGTTTATACTTATAAACACTAATAGGATCAAATAAGCCCAAATTCTTTGTACAGTAGAGAAGAGTAGTATGAAACTCATAGGTAAAGTAACAAAATAAAATACCACAAAGCCCTGAAATTATTTAGCTGAGAATTTTTAAAAAAAAAAAAGAAAGGTGGCTCGATGGGTGGTGTGGGCCTGGCCGCCAATGTTTTTCCATTGGGCAGGCTTGGCCACTTGCTCAAGCCGACAAGTTCGGGCCTGGCTGGGCTTGGGCAGTAGTACCTCAGGGGTTTGAGCCCAAGCAGGCCCGGCCCGAGCCCGCCCAGTGAGAAGGTCTAGTTACTAGTTGAAGACCAGTGCGTTACATGGATTTAACAGTCTACTTAATGAAAATTTTCATCTTTGTTATGTATTAGACTGATCGCGAGCACTTGTTCTTGGTCTCATCTGTGCAGGTGGAGTTTGATATGGACTTCGAGGCATTCGCCTACGGTACACAGAAATACTTGGGACCCTTAAAGAGGAAGAATAAACTCGAATGCTTGGATCAGCACTTGAGGCAGGTCGATGTTGTTCGGTTTGATCCTAGGGATCACCGCTCGAGCAGCTTGCTTGGCCTGGTGGAGTTTATCCTTAAAGAGGCGCGCGTCTTGGATAGGATGCTCATCAATGCTTGTAAGGTCGACGCAGATGGATCGAATTCTTCAGAGGCTCCTGATCCTCGCAAGTTGCTCGAAGTTTCCCAGTCAATTCTACGCCATCAAAGGGCTTCCAAGAACGCTCAAGTGGTACTTTACTATGGCTAGGAAAGGTGTTATTTTGTTTATTCATTCTCATTGTGTTTTTTTCCTTTTGGCAATTTTGAAACAGTAGGACTTGGGCTTGTGAAGAGGACCTTCATGAACCACATAATCAGGTTTTTAATAATTAGAGTTGTGGCTCGCGTCATTCTGACGCTCGCTCTTTAACCGTCTTGATGAGAACTGGCCTAAATTCGCGCGGTGCCAACGAAGCTGACTTTTTTTCCTATGACTTAGGTCGCATTGAAAAGTTACTAGTTAAGCACGAGTCTGATGATCAACTTCGTTATCACCGGGAACTTTCAAAATCATGTTTGAAGTTCTACATCTGTGATGTAGAGACTGTGTAAACACTCTGCATTGACATATATGCTTGAAGTGCTTCCATGAACGCTCGAGCGGCGCTTCCTTATGACTAGCAAAGAAGGTGGTTTTTCCTTTCGATGTGCGTCTATGCAATGTGAATGGGTGATTCTAGGAATGACCGTTGTAGCTCGCCTTTCGACCGTCTTAATGAGGACTGACCTGCACTTTGTCACCCCTTTTCAGAGAAGCAATTCGTTTTCATATCATGGGAAATTCGATGACCGTTGCATGAAATAAATTGAGGATGTAGTCATTAATTGAATTTACACTGAACGCTGAACGACCGGGGAGGCAGTTGCCATGGCCATCCCCGCTTATGTCCTAACCTCGCTTCCAAAATCGTGACCGGCAATTACTTGGCTGCACATGATCGGCCACGGGAGACTCATTTTTTCCTGTGGATAGAACCGTCATGCTTCGAAACTGTCCAAAGATCATGCTTAACCACACCACATAAGAGGAGCGAAAACTCTCATAGGGGCCTCTTTGGCTTGTCCGTTTGATATATAGGGATGGCGGGCTTCATAGACATGTTCATTATTTTAATGTGCCGGTGCCCGTATATCTTGCGCTCTCAATTCTTCCTAAATCTATTTCTTCCTTGGGAGGAGGGACTACTCCCTACCTGTTTTTACATCCAGGGAATTTCAAGGTCTGAATGATATCCCAGATGAAGCCTAATGCGCTCTAACAACATGCTTAGGTCGTGAATTATCTAATGATATCCTAGATGAAGCCTAATGCGCTCTAACAACATGCTAAGGTCGTGAATTATCTAAAGCGGACGCCAGCCATGGCGGAGCACCATGTACAGATATATACTAAGTCACGAAGCTACCAAACTCATGACCTTTCTCCCAATCAAATTAGTCTCCGGAATGTGGACTGTGGCTCACTACGTAAGCTTTCTCTTCTTCTTCGTATTGGGCTACAACATTTTCAAGCATGGTCATGCACTCCATTTTTCAAACTTAGGAAATCATTATTGTAATCACATGAATTTGCCCAAGCGTCATCTATAGTTCACAAGAAACTGTTTCGGTTCACATCATGTGTACCTCAGCAACGATTTTTATAAACTTAGGACAGGGATTGCTAATTCAGGGAGCAAAGGTAGATGCAAGCATCTTTCTCCGTGTCTGACCAAATTAATACCAATTTCTTTGGCATTTTATCGAGTAGAACTTTGGTTTATAATAAATTAATGCTTCATTAAATTATGGAGTAAGTCTTCTCGATGCATGTCATGTCGATGGTGAACGTTGTCGTTTAGTATTATTATTCAATGGAAGTATGTAGGTTGTAGCTAGCTTTTACTCGAATAAATTTATCAATCTTTAAGTTGGTATATGAAGAAAATGACATCCCAATGCGGGTTTGCATAGGTGTGTACCTACGTAAATAAATATTTTTTGTATGTTGTTATATAAGATAATTAAGAAAAGCTGAACCGGTATTATGTTATAGGAGATCTTCAGGATATAATTAAATTGGATTAATACCACAAAAAATCCCAAACCGGTACACCCGTGACAATATAAACCAAATAATTATTTATTTTAGAATAATTATACCATGAATCATAACCATAGAATTAGTCAAATATACGAATTAAAAAAAGTAAGTGGAACGAAGTTTTTGTGATGGAGCTACGTCGTCACCACAAAAGTTCTAATTCCACCATTCTTTACATCAATTTGAATAGAAAAAACGAAGAAGAAGACTTAGTTAATTCGCCAACAGTAACGTTGAATGCACTTTAATTTCGAGTTAGATATATTCCGATATGGAAACTAAAATATTCTCCCGGATATTATTTTCACTTGCGATTCATCTCATAATCTGATTAAAATAAACGAAATTTCTCCTGATATATAGCATCGTATTATTCCATTTTTTGTCTTTTTATAGCGCCGCGCATCACACGGGAGACTTCCCTAGAATCATAGAGGTAGGAGTTTAGGGCTAACCAACCTAATTTAATGGGAGATAAATGGTTTCTCACCTAATGATCATAATGGTCATAGGTAACAAAATGAACCATCTTCTTGATCCGCATCATCAAAAGTTGTGGTATTGCCTTCTCAACTCAAACTAGACAATTTCCTCTCATACAACTAAAAAAAGACGAATCTCCTTAATTTAATTCATACCAAGGCATTAAATAAGATACTGAGCTCATTGATCTAATATAGACATAGCGTTTGCTAATTCTATTTTTGATCCCTATACTTTCACGCCTTTTTTAGTCAAGTCTCGGTACTTTTAATTTTTGTAATCAAGCCTTTCTACTTTCACAAATTTTTCTGATCCAGCCATTTTCGATGCCAAATTAGCCATATCCAGCCAACATAGCCATCGAACGACAACGTAGTGTGACTTGAATAAAGTTTTTCAATGTGGCTGTCCGCGTGGACGTACACAATGACTGATTTTTACCCACATCATACCCCAACGGCTATTGGCTAAATTTTTCCACACACGTCCACGCGGGCATCTGCATAATTTGTCCTTGTTATACTTTAGTGTCATTTGACGGTCATGTCGGCTGAATTTGGTCAGATTTGGTGCTGGGCTTGTTAGAAAATCCGTGAAAGCAGAAAAAACCTGATTAGATAAACTAAAATTGCATGGACGTGATTAGAAAGGACATGAAAGTGGAGGGATGGATCGTATAATTTTTTTCTTGACCTAATGGCTTGAGAAGGCAAACAAATAACGCATAATATCCTAATAATAATCCCCAAAATTAATCTTGTTTGTGTTTCACGTATGAGAATCTTGGAGTCGGATCATTAGCTATATTCGTATTTTATTACGTGTGGAAAAACAATATATATAGTGGAATAAGACGATCATAATAGATGAACTAACTATTTCTTCTTGTCCTAATCCCATTGTCATGTACCACACACACGTCTATTTCATCGTTCCATTTCCTATTTGACGAAACTTGTCCAAAGCAATTTTTTATTTGTATTGATCCCTTCCTTACCGTGAATGGAAATGAATTTCAAATTAGAACGGCATTTAAGTTTTCAACCCTAATTTAAAGGTAAATCCATTTACTATAAATAGTCATTCTTTTCTTTAGTTGTATTTTTCTTTTATATTTTTTTAACCATAAAGTGACCAAATCATAATTCCAATAATTCCCTAACTACCCAAATCATATTCAACACAGCTTGCGCGCTGTAGAAAAATTTTTCGTTGCTTTAAGGAAGATAATTGAATTGCTTAATTTCAAGGCAACAAATTGAATAAGACAAGGTGCCATACAACAAAATCTAGACGTGAAACCGGTCCGCATCTACTCACAACGCAGAACATAAATGGAAGATCTACAAAATATTCATTGACCCGATGAGATTTGCAAGTTACACCTTAGCTTTTCGTAACGCGTCCTAATTTTCAGAATTTCACGTGTCGATACTTTCGGACTAATAATCGATAACCATTCTCGCAATTTCTATGGTTGTTAATACATAACTTAGTCCCTATGCATAATTTAGCATCACTGAAAAGTGAAAACCTCTAGCAACATACATAGAAAGGGGAAAAAGAATGTACTCACAGAGAATATGTAAACCACAATTTACTTTTATTGTTTTATTTATTTTTCATTTTTTTTTTTGGAATTTCTGCAGCAAAAGGAAATCACACAATGGAAGAGAGAGAGGGAGAGGGACCGCAATCCCATCAATACATCACCCCATTTTCCGACCCTGAAAAATGAAAAAAGAAAGGGGAAAAAAAAGGAAAAAAAAGGGAAAAAAGAAGAAGAGAAAATTACACAATAAGACAGCACATATATATACATTCCCCACTTTGAGCTTTGTTTTTTATTTAAAAGGAAAAAACGAAGCTCACAAAAAAAAGAGCAACACAAAGAAAAACGCTCAGATAAAAAAAATCATAAAAAAAGTGGGAAAATATATATGATTTTAACTGTCCAAAAAAGAGAAAAATAGTGGAGATTGTCGATGGTTGGTGATTGGTGCTGCTTCCAAATTATATTTCATATATATGACGTCAAAATTTATGTACGTCTCTCTAATGAGCACTTCCGTCGTCCCAAAACGCGGTCGTTTTCGGGCGTCGGTTTCAGGTCGAGAACCGTCTGGAGGAGCCGAACATTTGGTCGAGCAGGATGACGAGGGCCATCGCCACCGCCATGTCCATCCCCGGCTGCACCACCAGCCGGAACACGTCGCTCCCCACCGCCTCCTTCTGCCTTATCTCCGCCACCGCCACCCTCCTCGCGGCGTCGTACACGGTGCAGCGCCGCTGCGCGTAGGAGCCCTCGATCTCGTACGCCACGTTCTTGCCGCTTCGGGGGGACCAGGAGGAGGAGGAGGATGGCGAGGATGGCGCCGAGGACGGCGACGAGCTCCCGCTCCCGGATCCTCCTCCGCCGGAGCCGAGGCTCACCTGGGCCAGGCTCTTGTTATTCAAGATGTTGGTGTACTTCCTCGCCGTGAAGCGAGGGTTCACCGCCATCTCGCCGTCGAAGACTTGCCAGTTGTCGCTGAGGCTCAACCTCTGGATATGATCAACAGAATAATGCTCCGTCAGTTCGGATCCACGAATATCGGTATACGTACGATCTAAATCGATCTATATAATATGGTCCGATCCACAAAATTCCATATCGTAACACTCCTGAATTTCAAGAACTTAACCTACGCAGCAATATATAACAACGACGAGAAACGCGGGCTGACCTTGCGACGGATCGTGAGGAGAGGCTTCCCGGCGGCGTCCATGAGGACGACCTCGCCCTTGTTGCCGGCGAGGTAGTTGTCGACCCGGAAGACGAGGTTGCCCTTGCAGTCGAACACGGTGAAGCCGTTGCAGTTGAGGAGCAAGGACTTCTTCCACACCGTCAGGATCTCCTCCTTCCCGTACGCCGGGGAGAAGCTCCTGGCCGGGGCGGGGGCCTGCGCGGCGGCCACGGCGGCGGCGGCGGCGGCTGCGGCGTTGGGATGTACCTTTGTCATCTCTATATCTTCTCACTCAGCTATGTCTTAGAGAGAGAGAGCGAAAGAGGAGGAGGAGGAGACGAAGCGAGAGAGAAGCTTTCGAGTGTTTGTATGCGTGTGGGTTCGAAGGTGCAAGTTGCAAGAGAAACACCACGTCCTTATTTATATATGAAGGAAGAGAGGCGAGGTTGTCCGAATGTTAATATGCCTCTTTTGCTTTGGACCAACCGATCAAAGGCGCACTCCTCGCCAAAAGAAAGTCTACTCCGTGTGTGAATAAACGGCCCTCTCCACTAAAATACTTCGAACTTTAGATTCAATCTTAATTCCGCCTTAACTCTTTTTTTTTTTTTAAATCTCGTAAAAAATCCCCAACTTTCACTCTCTGATCTTAACTGTGTCAGCATGTCAAAAGATCGTCACCAGTTTACTCAATATTATCGATATCTGAACCGGTTAAAAGTTCATTGTTAGAACCTGCGTTTTCATAATGCCCTCACCTTCCTGATGTTGATAATATTGAAGAAATCAATGGCGATTTCTGAACCGGCTAGCAGATCTGAGACTAGAGTGTAAGTTGTGGATTTTTGTGAGATAAAAAAAAATTCAGGGCATAATTGTAACTAAATTTAAAGTTGAGGATTTTTTAGGGATTAGCCCATGAATAAACTATGGTATATGAAAATTACAATCGACAAAACCAATCACGACATCGAAACCAAAACCACGCATCAAAACAAGCAACTTTTCAAAATAAATCCAGCGCGAACCACAACTATCCTCGTGATTCGGCAATGGCAATTACTTTTTTTTTACCCCGGACCGGCCCGGATTAACAACGATTTCACGGCGAGGGCGCGACCGTCGCGTGATGTGGGGGAGATAGAGAGAGAAAAGAATAATTAAGAGCAGCTCATGGCGATGATAAGTTATTTATATAATATGGTCATTTAAATAATGAATGGGAATAGAACAAGGTCCTATCTATCTTTACTGCTAAGGTCGATTTGAATAATGAGAATGGGAACAAAAAATAAGACAAAGTCTTTGCACTATCTTGTGGCTGAGGAGTGATTCGCGGTGTGGGGGAGGGGGACGCCTGTCACCCAACGCTCTCAGATACTTCCGTGCTGCTTACTCTTTTTTTAACTTGTCATGAAAATGTAATTAACTCCTAAAACTTTCAAGAAGTGCAATAAAATCCTAAAACTTATTGCGAAAATACAATCGAGTCCTAAAACTTTTCAGAAAGTACAATCGAGTCTTAAAACTTGTTACAAAAGTTTAATTGAATTCTAAAACTTTCGAAAAATGTAACCAATGGAAGGACTTGATTGAACTGATTTGATAAATTTTAGGACTTGATCAAACTTTTTGAAAGTTTTAGGACTCAATTGCACTTTCATAACAAGTTTTAGGACTTAATTATACTTTTTAAAAGTTTTAGGACTCGATTGTACTTTCGTGATAAATTTTAGGTCTTTTAATGTACTACTTTTTTTTCCTTCGATTTTTTCTTAATAATTTATTCATGTGTGCTAATTAATTTAGTTAATTGAGAGGATAATCTCATCCCACTATTGGCTAAGGCCTCTATGCCACCCTCTCATTGGTGGGTGGGGCCATTTTCAACGACGTGGACCTTTGACCATTTCTTTGTTGTTATATTATTGGGTCTTGATAATGTTGATTAGTACAGCTTGAGATGGAAATTAGAAAAATTAATTTTATTTTTTGGTAAGTTAATCAAGGAATTGAGCCAATGATTTTGTTGGCCCTGCATAATTTTGTTGTCACTCTCATTTGGAGCTTTGGCATCCAAGGCTTCAAAGCTACCCCCCTCTTGGTTTGCCTTTCACTTTCCTTAACAAGGAAGCAACAAAAAAAATTATTAACCATCATTTTCCACCCTTTGGTTAATTATTGTTTAACCTATATATTAATGCATAACCCAAGCTGACTTCGCCGAAGGATGATTACCGAAGGCGGCTCGAGATTCAGCTGTCTAATGGGCGAAAATCAGACTCGGTCGAAAGCGACACGATTGATCATATGGGCAAGGATTAATTTCGAGCCAATCTATGTACATATATTAGAACTTTTCAAAGACCCCCCCTATTTATGAAACGATTTTCATGACCTCCAATCCCACCAAACCTCCTGAAAGTCATCTAATATTGCCCCTTTTGCATAGACAATGAGTCTTTAACAAATTATGCGACTCTCATTAAAAAAACTCATCGAAAAACTAATGTGGAGAACTCGGGCATGCGCGAATCGCGTCGGTTGAGTCTAGCATTATTTACTGCCAAAGAGCTATGAACTTCAGTTTTGATTTTCCGCCACTTTGAAATCCCATGAAATGCAACTTAGTTGTACACTAAATTGCGAGATTACCCTTATTTTGTTCATTTACAATAATTCTTCTAAAATTCCCATATTGTTTATCTACATTAGTGATCCTGAATATATATAATATATATATTCCTAATCTTGAATCAATTCTATTGCATTGCATTCTGTGATTTAACAGGAATTAGTGCGTGTTAATGTTTCTTCTTCACATTGGACTTTAAAGATCTCGTCACGATCAAAAAGTGACAGCCGCCTAAGTTGAACTCTTTTGACCCTTTCTCAGTGCTGATCCAAGCTTATAAAGATTCTCCTCAAAAAAGTTGCTCTCGACATCATATGAATTTACGATAAAATTAATCATGAAAAACAGAAAATTGGGCGATAATCTAATACTCAACACAAAATCACGTTAGATTGTCCGATAATCGACGCGAAATTAAACACAACGCTGCTTAAATAAGTCTCTTTATTTTCAAAAATAAAATTACCCCGAACACACGGAGGGACTCGCACAAAAAGTGGGTTAACTTTGCAAGCTACCCCAACAAAAACGATTAAAATAAGAAATTTGATTCAAACATTTTCAGTGCAGTGCACTCCAACCTTGGATTCGTCTGCCCACCTTTAAGTGGGCAAAATCCTCAAACTACTCGCCGTCCACTCAAAAAACTTCGGCTCCGTGCACGAAAGCGACCGAACATCTTGTTTTTTGGGATCGCCTAGCTCCTTTCGTAATCTTGCTCCATCTTTGCACCTACTTTTTACAGCCACCACGCCGTGTAACCAGCAATCTTGCTTCTCCTCCCCTAAATTAACAAATCAAGAAATCGAGCTTAGGGTTCGTGGCCAATCAAGATCCGAAAGCGTTACAAATTGGGTGGATAAGTCCGTGAAGTTTGCGACGAAGATGTCATCATTGCAAGGCGGTGTTGGGGCGGTAATCTAAACACAAAATGAGTGGACCTCTTGATGTTATTATATTATATGCATGTTTTTTTATATTGACTTGGACGAAGATGGAAAGAGAAATGTTGGGTCATTCTTGTGTAAAATGAGGTGGGCGACGGCTGACGAGTGATCTAAAAGCTTGGAAGGGTCGGTGAGAATGGGAGGAAGAAGAAGGTGGTTGCATCCCATCAATGGAATTGAAGAAATTTTTTGCATATTTAGAAGACCCATCATCATATTATGGACGACATATCAAAATAAAGATGACCCATTTCCTACACATGCTCAATCTTCGACTTACACATCTCGTGTAACACATTGGAGACGAGGGGGTGGAAGTTAACCACGAGTAGCCTCTTTCTTTCGTATCACATAAAAAGAATAGTACCAGCTAGGGCCGTGCAATAGGACCTAGCTACCGTGAAAATCAATTCGGTTCTAGGTTTCTGTTGGAACCAGTCCAGTTCCCCGTTTCGAATTTTTGGAACCAGTCTGATTTTCGGTTCCAAATGAAAAGTCACCCGGAAGCCGGATTGAATTTGAAACCGGTTTTATAAAGTTTAAAAACCCTAATTTTTCTCTTGGCATTCTCTCTCTCTCTCTCTCTCTTTTCTCTGATCTTTCCAATCTTATTTAGACATTTCACAACTCTCTCTCTCACTCACAACTCGCCCTCCTTCTCACTCACTCGCCGCTTGCCCTCGCGCGTTCAAGCCTCGCAACCCTCGATTGTTCCTGACTTGCTTTTGCTCGCTCGCTCTCGTTCATATTTTACTTTGAACCATTTTATTGCTTATATTATTTTGCTGTAAACGATGAAACCCAATAAAGGAACATAAGAAAACAACGAAAAAATAGGGTAGGTTCCAAGGTCAGGGAAAATATGGTAGGTTTCAATTTTTAAAAATTAGGAACAAGTTCTAACTGGGTAGGTTCCGTGCATCCATTTGTGAGATGGAATATGTTCTAATAGGGTTTGAAACCTACTCACCTGAGAACTGATCACCCCTAGTAAAACGCAAATAATAATTCGTAAAAGTTTACAATAGCCTCTATTCATGAAATGGAGATCTGTTCAATCTCGAGGTTTACATGCAATCCCGATCCCACTTCTCTTAAGCGAATCGATTTACCTCTCGAAATCGACACGACCCGTTACTTTCCGGCAATGTTCTCTACTCAAAAGGGGGCGGGAAGAAGAAAACAAAGAGTAAAGAGCGACGACGATATCAGGTGCCGCGCGATCGGGCGGGACGGGCGATGGCATTTGGAACAGTCTCGCCGCGTTAAATGGACTCGAGTGAGATGATGAGAGTGTGCGATTTCGCCTCCCCCTTCTATGTTTCAAAAGAAGACATAATTCTCAAGAACGTGGACAAGCGTGGGGGTGGTGGTGGTGGTGGTGGTGGTGGGGGTGGCTTGGTGGGCATGCTAATGCGAAAACGACAGGCACACTCGATTCTAAATTCCTTTTTAATTTTTTTTTTAAAATTTTCAAAATTTATTTTATATGTTTAAGAGAATGAATTGTGATTTTGTGGGCTTGTGGGTATGTGTTGTGTTGTCCTGTGAGGCCAAATTCCGATTACGATTCCGATTCCTCCATCCAACCTCTCCTTTTTCCTCTTTGCCCATTTGCCAACAATTTGCACCATATAAAAACTTTCTTTGATTCGATTCCCATTCACTCCCAACCAGCAATGACAATACACCCTTCGTTGTCTCCACCATTTGTTCATCTCCTTTTCTAATCACCCCCTCCTTCCCTTTTCAGGGATGACCCCATCTCCCCCCCCCGTCCTCCTCCTTCTCCTCCTCCTCCACCGCCTCCTCCATCACCATCTTATATTCTCAAAAGCCATCTGCCTTCCATCCCTTCTTCTGTCCTTTTCTTTCGCCTTCGTCTCATCAGACAGCCAATTATCCAAATAATAGGTTTAAAACTAAAGTGGCAAATCGCCCTCGCGGGCCAGGTCGAGCCTGCCGGCACTCGCCTCTGGCCGATCGCCATGGTCTGGCGATCGGTTAGAGGAAAAAGGAAAAAGGCAATTGTTAATGTCCACATCAGCACCAGTCGGCCGTCATAACCAATGTTCATGTCAACAATTTCTAGCCAAAATTAGCCAAATGGACTGAATTGGCACAAATGCAAAATGTTTATGACTAAATTGGTACAATTGCAATAGGTTGATGACTATTTCGGTAGTTTTCCCACCACCTTATATAGTTATATTCTCCAAAGCCATCAGCCTTCCATCCCTTCTTCTGTCCTCTTCTTTCACCTTCATCCGAGAACCTCTTAGGTTGAGCTTTTGCCTAACCCTAAATCCCACCAGACCTATGGCCAAAATTTAGGGCGAAAGGCTTTGTATCGTGCCGTCCTTAATTAGAAATTGAGATGTCCGTCCTGGATCGACCATACAAGTTATTCGCGGCTTTTCGTCATAAGGGTAGAGGAACTCAAAAAGGGAACTGCAAAGTCAAAAACTTTAGAGCAACCCAATGGCCAATTTGCTCTGAGCAGAAAAGGGCCTCCAGGCAGTCTTTTATAAAAGCAAGGGACTTTTAACTAGAAGCACACAAAAGCACAGGTCGATACCGCAATGTGCGAAACTTTAAAGGCCGACGGTTTACATCAATCGAGCGACTAAAGGAACGCGTAGAAAGGCGCCAGAGCGCGGATGCCTGCATAATTTATCTAAAAGTGGTTCACAAGGAAGCTACAGAAGTTGTCACTTGCTCGAACACGCACCATAAGTTGACAGGCAATAACAAAGAGAAAGAAACATAGGGGGAGAATCTGTAAAGGAGACATTGCGGTTGAGTCATCGTTGTACATCGATTCGCCGTACATTAATTGCAAATTGGAATGGAATAACAGAAGACAAAAAGTACTCCCCAAATCGACATTAGGCTGGAAGACACCGTACTTTTTCCCAAATCCTTCACAAAGAGATTCCGAGCCAGCGAGGCGGACCCCTGCGGAAATCTCGAAAATCTTGTGTTCCGTGCGGCATTATTCAGGACCGACGAAGTGTGGATTCAGAGGAACAGTCTCATGTTCAATGTGCTTGAAAGTTCAAGCCAACCAGCTGCCCATAGATACACACTTCGCACACGCACAAGAAAAGGAGATGCTTAAATATCTCAGCACACAACGCAGCGTAGTAGAGTCGCGGTAAGAAGTCAAAACAAGGACCCCAATTTCCTTTTCAAAGGCTTAACCAGATGGCCCCACAAAGGATTCACGTTCTTCCTTCCGTATCAATCGTGATCGGAGCAAAACACTGGCAATCACCGCAACAATGAGAGTCCGAAACAATCGCTAGTCCTAAGATAATAGGTCGGCGCCTTCACGCATCAGAGAACAAGTCAATAATACAGCTTGAAACAGCTAACTGTACCTTAGTTGCGTGGTTAACTTAAAAGCTAAGGATAGTCTCCTTCTAGCAAAACCACTCACGTGTCTGAAGAAGAAAAGAAACTTTTCAGGAATGTAACATAAAGTCAAGCGGGGATACTGATAAAAATCAAGAATGACAAGGAATCCTATTACGTGTATTCGTTAGGGAAAAGCTAGTATTATGGATTAGTTAAAACAACTGCTAACCCTCCGAGTTGTCCAAATCATCACCTTATACTGCTCATGTTCAACTCTTGTAGGCTTGAATTTCTCAATGATCTCTAATACTTAACAATGATAAACGTACTAGATTTCCAAATATTCTCAAGGACACCTAATCTTGACATTAATTGCCCGTGCAAACGGTCGAAGGAATCTCATAATCCTGGGCTAGCATTAACCAGTAACTAGGCAATTCCAATGGTAATAATTTGCTAGGCGAGTGTTGAAGATGGTGGCTAAAAAGTAGTTATAAAAACATTGACAATTTGAATTGCCTGAGTGAGAACACGTGCATTATGAGATCAAAGACAGAGGCTACGATTTCTGAACACATGGATGATCAAGAGAACTTGAGTGTGATAATCTAAAATTTTGTCCTATGGAGGTAACAATACGAAAATTTTCCTCTAGAATAGAACACCATGTATAAGGAGGGAGACCAGTCCTGTGGAAAATGTTACAAGGAGCAAAAATCATCATCCTTCGAATTAACTCTTGATAACATTACTTCATAACTATTAGGTCTAGTTATGCCAAAAGGACAGAACAGGTAGTTTTCTTTGTTACCACAGCGCGAACATGCCAAACAAAGTTGAGAAACAAAAACGTTCGCATCGAAAAGTTTGACTTTTGACTAGGTGGTAAGATTTGGTGTATCAGTGAAAACATGAAGCCACGACAGAGGTAAACAATGAAGCAATAACATTTACTTTCCTCGTACATGGCAGCAATTCTCACGGTCAAACAATAAGCTACAGTAATTTAGTTAAAAAATAATCCACAAATTTGCCAGGAGAAAGGTTAACTAGACAAGCTCGATATAGGCCATAGGTGCATTGTCCCCTCGCCTTGGCAGAGTTCTAATAATTCTTGTATAGCCACCATTTCTATCGCCATACCTTTCTGGGACTTCAGCAAATAAAGCATGAACAATCTGCTTTTCATAGATAAAGCCAAGGGCTTGTCTTCTTTTGTGAAGAGATCCATTTTTTGCCAAAGTAATCATCTTGTCCACATACTTCCTAATGGCACTGGCCCTTGCTCTGGTGGTCTTGATCCGACCATATTTGAGAAGCTGAGTTGTGAGGCCGCGAATTAGTGCACGTCGCTGGTCAGGGGGCCTATTGAGCTTGGGAACCCGCCTGCCATGCCTCATAGCGGAAACTCGAGAGCCGTTGTCAATGAGGGTGAAGTTGTGTTCATAGCTTGAGTAATCTGGAAGAAAGCCATTCACAGATAAAATTGCAAGGACGAACATGATAATTTAAATAAACGCAACGCTCAATCTGTGGAAATTAGATGTTACAGCTACTAATTTAACAAAGAACATCTTCCACTGTGGCGGGAGTATAGGAGCTGGAAGTTAGACCCTAAAATTGCAACTCAGATTTAATTGGACCTCAAACTTGAGGATCTATGTAAAAACTCCAAAGCCCATTTTCAGCAATTTGAGGCTGTTTCAGTCAATCGACTTCATAAAAGTTTAAAAGGTTCGTCCCCCAGCCATCGAAGCAGGTGCCGTCATCATATGTCAGAAAGAGATCATGAAATTATTGGACAGAATGTCAACCATTGCCACCATTGCCTTTTCCTTGCACAAGCAAAACTGACATTAAGTACAAGGTTGGAAGTTCTACCCTACTCAACCTTCATTCTCCACTTCTTGTGTATAATAAAACCTTGACACAAACAAGCCATAAATGCAGAAACAGGTACAAGAGCTAGAACCAACAACAGGTTCTGCACAAAAAAATGGACTGCAGGAAAAGGTAAAAATGACATTGCAAATTGTGCCCCTATTGTAGATGTCAGGTCATATTTTTATCATTAAAGTAGCCTGCAGTTACCAAGTAAGACATTTAATCAACACAGATGAGTAAAAAGCTCTCCCCATGGGAAAAATGAAACACAACTTGCAGAAAGATGCATGGGCAACATTGGATGGCAGTAGTCCAGGTTATCAGCCAACTATAAAGGTCACTTAATGAACCAGAGTCCTTCTAGTTTCATTTTAATTGAAATATCAGCTTTAAAGACTGGTCAAGGAATCCTCATCCTTCATCAGGTTACCTTGTTTCATTTCCTGTGTTTTGCAGTTTGACCATGATCACACAAATCACGCAGCACCCATGTAAGCACCAAAAGAAGTATGGAGGCAACCCTTCGTGATGGACAGCCATGGCCCGTGCTGATAATCTCAATTCTCATATAGCCCTCATCTCACCATGTGTTTCTAAATTCTCTTCACCTTTGCAGTTTAATAAGCAGATGTTTCCCCGTCCTCAATTTTTTGGCTCGTGTCGGATAGTTTTCCATTTTGACAAAAACAATTGGGAAGGTAAGATATAGTATTTGGGAGGTAATTGGAGGAGTATCAGCTAATAATGGTCTTCGTAAAAAAGAGCAAAGTAAAAGATATTCAACTAATATACTTCAACAGCCTATACATGTTTCATCTTGAAATGCCTAACCAGCAAGAAGTCCAACATCTGAGCAATGCCTGATCCGACTATTATGGGAACATCAGCCTCCACCCAAACACACTGCTTTCAACACAGGGATTCTACATCTTACAATCTATAATTACCAGATAACCAACCCAAAAACAGATCAATGTTTATGACTCAACAATGTCCTACTGATCCAGCCAAAAAGAAAAGGGCGACAGCACCTACTACCAAAGCAATGTCTTCAAATAATTGGATGGAGAGCTTTAAATTTCTCTTCTACGAAGTAGCAGCACAGAAAACAAGTAACCAGTACATGAAATAAAAATGTGCGGTCCCCTGAGATAGGAGTTCTCGCTATATTCCCTGCTTAGGGTGAATGGTATAACCGCCCACTCAGCTAAACCTCTAGTTCTTGCAAAAGGGTGTGGGGAGGAGCAATTCGATCCAAGACTACACGTAATGTTCCTAGACCTCAGAACCGGCCATTCGAAAATGACAACCAATCACATTCTCTCGAAACTTGAAGCATAAAATCTCTACCAAAAACAAAGACACTTGAGCCACATACAATGCTGCACATCATGTCCAACTTCAACCTGTTAATAGACCACAGAAGATCAAATTTACATCACGAGAAACTCATTCAACAAGAGCGACAAAGCCCAAAATGGAGACAACTCTATCCCCAAGTCCTAGCCATCATTTCACAAACTCTGTCAGTTACTACCACCGAGACAATGTCAACAGGTCAATTCGCCAAATATACAAGAAACCCACAAGAGCAATGACGTCGAAACACGGAAAACACACTCATTGCATCGAAGAAGAAACAGGCATACCCGCGAGCCCGAGGGAGAGAAGGGGATTGAGCGGGGACAACCCCGCGAACGAGCCCAACTGCAACTGGGGTTTGCGAAGGAGAGCATAGGAGGCCCTTTTAGAGACGGAAAAGAACCGAACAGAGGAAGGAGGAGCCCTCACCGCCGCCGCCGCCGCCGCCGCCTTGGGAAGAGGAGGAAGGGAAGGAAGGGCCGACTTGAGAGACCCCATGCTCCATCGGGTATCGGCAGAACTGCATCCACAAGCCATCGCCATAGCTCAACAACACTCCCAAGCTCAGGAAACTCTATCCTAATCCAGAGGATGACAGTACTGGAGGTTTACAGAAGAGCCAGAAAAAACAGAGGAGGGAAAGGAGAGAAATGGGTCATTGCTTCGTGTCTACAAGTTTGGGCCTTTCTTGGTCTATCCACTTTGGGCCTATTGCCATTGCTCGTAAATTTCAAGTTCTCTCTTTTTTATTTTCCCTTTTAGGATTTTAGGGAGAGGGACAGTGGGTTAAGAAATCCAAAACTTGTCACGAAAATATAATTAAAAATTAAAAATTTTAAAAAAGTGAAATTAAATTTTAAAATTTATCACGAAAGTGCAATTGAGTCCTAAACCGTTTACAAAGTGCAATCAAGTCTTAAAACTTGTCACGAAAGTGTGATCGAGTCTTGAAACTTTTAAAAAGTGTAATCAACGGAAGGACTTGATTGAACCAATTTGACAAGTTTTAGGATTTGATTGCAATTTAGTGACAAGTTTACAATTTCGAGTATACTTATCACTTACGTATAAGAATGAAGTTCCTCTTTATTCAAAAAAGGAAAAAATAAAAGGAAACTCTTGAAACTCTTGAGAGAGTTTTTTTTTTTTTTTTTGGTCAAGAAACTCTTGAGAGAGTTTAGGGAGAGGAGATGTTGACGCCTAAAAGAGGGGAATGGCAGATAGGTAATAAATTGGGCCTATATTTGATAACCAATGGAAAGAAGTTCGGGCCTTTTGATCCCTACCTTGTCGTATAGGACAATATTTATAACTCAGAGAGTCTCTCACCCTAAATATCACGTAGTTCAATAGATAAGCGTGCGCAAAATCAAACTTGCACTGGGGTGTGCGATCGAAGCATCATCATCCCATGGTGCGGGGTGAGTCGAAACTAGAGTTGGTCCTCAAAAGCGGGATTGTTTTTCACTTGTTGACTTGCGAAATAAGATCTTTACCATAAACTTAAATCACACTCTTATATACATTGATCCGCATTACAATAGTAAACTCGGAGTAGATATTTTATTTGTTACCGTTCTTCCCTAAACTTTGAATATCTAAGTTCTCTGCTAACCGTAATCCGATTTTTTTTTTCCCATTTTGATTACTAATCAAGAACGTCATATCACAATTCATAATTACCCACGACAAAGCAAGTCTCGCATAACCAATATTTCAAAGATCCCACAACTCACACAATCCAAGTTTGGTGAAATGTAATGTCAAATTAATCATGAATTTTGCCATGTATTGGGTTAACTTTTGAATCCCCTGACCATATCCTAACTAGATAGAACAGGACGAGCAAGAAACTTCATCCGGAGAAATAAAAAAATTAAAAAAAAAACAAAAACCTTAAAAATCTCTAAATATCCGCGGCGACACGTGTCATTCTCCGATTAATCCTTAAAAGAAATGACCGTGTGTCCTGAACTTCTCACTTTTCACCATCAAACCCTCATTTTCTGGTCGCTCTCTCTCTCTCTCTCTCTCTCTCTAAAATCCTTCTTTTCCTTCTCACCTTTCATCATCCACACACGCACCCAGAGAGAGACATGTGATGGGAGCGTCTTCGGCTCCTTCACCAGCCACATCTTCGTGTTCAGTGCTCACCATGGTCGCTCCATCTTGAGCTCAAAACCCAACTTCGTGGCAGCCCACCAGTCATACCCGTCAGTGCTCTCTTCGTTTCTCTCTCTGTCTCTCTCTCTGTCTCTCTTTGCTCATGGCTTTGTCTTGAATCTGAGCTGCATTTTCCAATGTGAAGCCGGAATCTGAGGATGCCCTTTTTGAGTCTTGAGTGTAAAACCCCTCTCTCGGGTTGCTGCGAAGCCCGCAAGATTCGAACTGTTTGGCTCGATTTTGACGTTCTTGTCTAGAAAGTGTCGTTAACTGTAGAGTTGAAGATCACATTCCTCTTCTTGTTTCGGGCGGGGCAAGCTGCACGGGTCGCGGGTCCCAGAAGCCATTGTGGGCCGGGACACGCGATCCCCGCCCTGCCCGGTTGCCATCCCTACTATGAGAGAGAGAGAGAGAGAGAGAGAGAGAGAGAGCGGGGGGCGACTTTTGGGATCTGGAGATGTGTAGTGGCCATTGTTTAATAGTGATCATGTTCTAAGTATCTTTTGTATTGGTTTTCTTCTCCCCCAGTATGTGTTTGCATTGTTTAATGGGTTTCGCTCTTCTGTTTACTTTTTTTAACTAGAGAAAGTCCTCATCTACTTTGAGAGAGAAAAAGAAGAGTATAATCTACATACAGTAAAGGGTCAAGAGAGGAGGGAGAAAAGGGAAGAGGAAGGCAATCACTTGGAGCTCTGCAACTAGGAATTCTTCCTTTCCACTGTTGGTGTTTGTGCTTTTGCTTCATCTAAACAAGAACGTTGAGACCCGGAACGAGAACAAGAACGGCGGTGGGCGAATAAGATGGGCAACTGTGGTACTAGAGAAGAATCTGCTGTTGTGGCTAATGCGCATGCGCAAGGTCAGCTTTTCGTTTCTCTCACGTTTCTGTCTCTAGATCTAGTGCTCTTTTTTTTGCCTCTCACATTGTGCTATTGTAGACACTTTTTACCATTTGCTTACTTTTTCCTTTTGGGTAATGATTTGGATGATGATGATAGTTGGAGCTGAAGTTTTTACTTCGACTTTCTGAATTTGACAATGTTTCTTACATTGATTGGCTCCTGGTTGTTTCTGATTTTGTTGACCCATTATAAATATGTTTGGTCATTCTCATTTGTGGGTCAGATTTTAAATGTTGGGCAATTGGGTTCCTTTCTCCTTGGATAATTAGCAGGAAGGGTTTCATTTATCTTACAATTAGTTTGTCCTTTTGGCAGTCCAACAACTTCAAATATTATCTCCATTGCCCGTTAAAAACCCACCATCAGAGAGAAAGCATAGCCGCTCCACATCAGATCTGAGTGATTGTTCAACCCCCAGAAACTTCGAGGACTCAAGAAAAAATGCCATGCTCTACACCCATGTGATCGCGTTCACACTTTATGAACTCGAGACTATTACCAAGAGTTTCCGCTCCGATTACATCCTGGGGGAGGGTGGATTTGGGACTGTGTACAAAGGTTATATTGATGAGAATGTGAGGGTTGGACTTAAATCTCTTCCAGTCGCTGTTAAGGTTCTCAACAAGGAGGGTCTTCAGGGCCACCGGGAATGGCTTGTATGGTCGTTTTCCCTCACTTCCTCCTCACTTCTTCTTCCGTTTAAATCTTTAATTAGCAGTATTTTTGAGTTGTGCCAGCTTGTTTGACTTTGATGTATATTTGTCAGACGGAGGTCAACTTTCTTGGACAGCTTAGACATCCAAATCTGGTGAAATTGATTGGTTATTGCTGCGAGGAAGATCACAGATTACTTGTGTATGAGTTTATGTTCCGAGGGAGCCTTGAGAACCACCTATTCCGAAGTGCGTACATTTTTCTTTGTCTCCCGTGTATTTAAGTATCACGTGTATATTTTGTGTTCAAATTATGTCTTAGTGGCTAGTTTAAATGCTATTTCGTGGATGACATGTTTTTTTGAAAATGAACCTCTTTCAAGTGAATTCACATGTTCGTGACCTTTTTACTAACAATTATCATTTCTGACATATGTATTACTAGAGGAATTACAATAGGTCTAAGTGCTGGTTTGGGCCTTTAAAATTGAGATGAAACTTGATATCTAATCTGCATGTTCATCTCGTTCATCTTGTGAGTTGGATGGATTTTGTTGGTTGAATGCAGTACCCTCACTCAGATATGGTATTGAATGCATCTTTAAATGCAACAGCTTAAGCCAAAACTGTCAAACTTGTTGGTTCAAGTTCCCTCGTCACTAACAGACATAAATTGAAGAAAGTTCCCAATATTCCATTTGCGTCTATCAACAACTTCATCATCTCTTCTTCCATATTGGCATAGACAAAAATTCGCGCCCAGCAGTTTATTATTAATTACTATGATCTTCGTAAAGAGTACCCTCATTCATTTCACCGTAACACGGTGCTTTTCTTTAAGATGGTATTTTCTCATTAGTTCCGTTATGTATTAGGAAAAATATTTGGTCAAACCACTGTAGCACATGTTCAGTTTCAATGGCTGCAGTTTGACTTTATTTGTCTTTATGCTGGTGAGCATATGCACGGAGATGTTGAATCTTTTTGTATGCGATTTATTACTCTGGAATTGCTTTTGTTACACTTTGGTTAGCATGCATGTAGCTCAGTATGTTGTCCATGCTATGATCTTATATGCCGTTTATTTGATACTTTTTTTGCACCAACATAACTCCCCATTTTCTCCTCAGTCTCAGCTTTCAGGCTTGTACTTTACCTGATCAATGTCTAACAGGGGCTTTTGTTTGACGAATTATATAGGCTAGTGTTTCCTTTCTTATCTCATCTATGTGCATGAGCTTCCAGCATCATGTCTCTTGTGATGCGGTCAAATCATTGTCTATAATAGTTAGTCTTACCGCTAAATTGTGATTTGTCCACTGAAAGTTCTTGCTACTCATGCAATTGATTATGGAGGGATCAACAAAGTAGCAACTCGACATTGTGCATCATTCAATCAGGGAACTATTATTTCAAAATCTTCAAATGAGGTTGCTCTATTTTGGAGATCAGCCTTCTGGGAATCTAAAGTTAATGCAGCACTTAGGATGACATGTCATTTCATCTACGTGCCAACTGCCTCATGACAAGACACAGTAGCTTTTCGTTAGCTTTTCCAGTGAATGGTTGACAAAGTCGTTCAATTTAACTTTCAAAGCTACAATGATCTGATTGAAAGATTCAAAAGTAGAATCTTTTATTGAAAGAAGTCTAGACAATAAAAGTTTGGTATCTTCACTACTGTATGCTGCTTTGATTTAGTTGAGAAAATCCATCTAATTAAAACCTTTATACTTATTGTGAGCTCATTTTATGCATTTACAAAGATATACGCCAGTACTTTAAACTCAATACAATATGGTCTTTTCGTGAGGTATTTAGAAGCAACTGTTCCTTTACCATGGGCTACAAGGATGATGATTGCTTTTGGGGCTGCCAAAGGACTTGCTTTCCTTCACAATGCTGAAAGACCAGTCATCTATCGGGACTTCAAAACCTCAAATATACTTTTGGACTCTGTGAGTTTGCCGCTTACCCTAAACCATCCTCGGAATTGCTTTATTAAAGAGCGAGAGCTTTATTTACCTACTTCCCTATGATCGACAGGATTATACGGCAAAGCTTTCAGACTTCGGACTTGCAAAAGCTGGGCCTCAGGGTGATGATACCCATGTATCAACCCGTGTTATGGGGACGTATGGTTATGCTGCCCCTGAGTACGTAATGACTGGTAGGTCGATGAGATGTTTTGGTGTTTGTTCGCTTTACCATAGAAGCATAAAGTGCATTTATTTTGGGTATATCCCATCAGGTCATGAACTAGGAGCAAACTATTTTAAACATTCTTTAAGGGTGGGAAATAACGTACACTATATATATTGGTGTGGCGTTGGTGCCGGTGGTGTTATTCTATTTTGTCGAGTTGCCGGTTAAAATGCAGGAGACTCTAATTTTCCGCAAGAAGTTATGTTCTTTGTATCCTCAATGTATTTCCAATAGCAAAAGTCTATAGCGAAAGTGCATTTGTCCCTATGGTAATATGGTAATAAAATACCTATAAAAAAACGATAAATATGGTAAATATCTTATGATCAATGAAGGACGGATGGGCAAGATATTGCATTGAATTTGATGAAGACAAAATATGCGTAATGCTGGTCTTCTTGAAGTAAATGAACTATATTAACCCATGTTTCCTTTCGAAACACACACCAATATATTTACTCTTTCGGTTATTATTTTCATCAAAGGAAAATGAATTGTGGGAAGATCATGTAGAAGTGATAATTAAGTGATGGAGTACGTAAGTTATATTTCCCTGATAAAGTAACAAATGCTAGTAGATATTGAAATTTGTTGGTCGGATGGGGAAAGAAGTTTTCACTTTCTGGTGTTGCAGTTCTCATAATCTAGAATCTGTGCTGAGGAATATTTAAGCTTTGGTGCTACCAATTTCTCAATTTATTAACCACTGAAAGTTTCTGGAAGAGGACGACAATTGTGCATTCTTGGCAGTCCTGGTTACGTACTACTTATGACCAGTTGCACTTACATGATGTGTCAAAAATTGATACTCGTAACCTTTTCATTAAAAAACGAAACTACTGACAATCGTGTTGTTGAAGAGTCCAGCTCAAAAAGTTCTTTATGCTTCTGTTTGAATTACTCTTAACACTCTTTACCTGATGAGCAGGTCACTTAACAGCGCGGAGTGACGTGTACAGCTTCGGAGTTGTTCTATTGGAGCTTTTGACTGGGAGGAAGTCCTTTGATAAGACCAGACCAAGCAAGGAGCAGAACCTGGTTGACTGGGCCCGGCCCAAACTGAACGACAAAAGAAAATTGTTGCAAATAATCGATCCAAGATTGGAGAATCAGTATTCGGCAAGAGCAGCTCAAAAGGCGTGCAGTTTAGCCTACTATTGTCTGAGCCAGAACCCCAAAGCAAGACCCCTAATGAGTGATGTTGTCGAAACCTTGGAACCTCTACAAGGTAGTAATGATGGTGTAAATGAAATGCCGTCAACACTAGGAGTAGGCGGTTCCTTCCCAATGGGTGGAGTTTCTGATTATCGGACCCGTCGCCGGTTCGTAACCAATGTGGGTCCTGGTGCTAGCTGCCGGTCTCCAAACCCTAACTGTTCACCGGGTGGCCCCACTGCATGCCGAGTGAGATGAGTAACTGCTACTAAATTGTGTATACTCCTTTAGTTGTGCCTCTTCCTCCCCAAGCCTCTTTAGAATGACAAAAAGTCGCTTAACTATAATGGTGGGTGCATTCGCTTCTTCCCGCAAGAAGAAGTCACATCGTGTCGTGGTGTTCCATAGTTCCAGTCAACTCCACCGTGGTCTGTGGATGTTGTGGTTGTATTAATCTCAAGGTCTTGTTTAGCTGATACAGTGGTAAATTTCTCATGTGAAAAGATCTAATCTTTGCATTTCGGTTTCAGATGGGATAGTTCTGTATCTCACCCTTAGAGTTTCTTTCCTCCTCTCTTGTTGTTTTTTCCCTTTGGGGAGGTCAGGGAAGGGTTCCCTGAAAGAGGCTAAAGTTTCATGACTGATGATGCAGTTCCAGTTTGGGAATTGAGCAAATGTGTGTAATGGCTGTGAGTTTTGACGGTTCCAGGAAACTCTAATAGTTACTCCTATTAACTGTTACTGTTCAAGTGTTGTGTGTGTATTTTCTTGTGTTTGTTTGGCTGTGAAAGTTGGCATGTTTTTGGACATTTGCTCATGCTTGCTGTCTGGTTAACATGCAATACGTAGTAGCGCGAAATGGAAGTGCCGATCAGAGGCCTGTGCATATAAAATTGCCATGAGCTTGTGCAAAGGTAATGAGACTGCGCGATGCGGATTTCTTAGCAAAAGTGGATGCGATATCGGAGGCGACGGATCAATTTCTTGAGACCCCTCCAAAGTAGTATTCTGGGGTGCATCAATCTCCTCGTAAGAGAGGTAATCTCTTGAGAATGAATCTTTTCTAGCCTCCACTATTTGCACATTGGTTTTGCTTTCTATCTCTCTTTTGCTAAATTGCTCCCTTTTACAGTGAAAAACAATAAATAAAAAAAAGCACTTTCTGAGTTTCTCGTCATTTTCTTTTAGAAAAAATGAGGAGTTCCTATGGACATTGGAGTCATCTATATTACATTATCAATGGTTATGTTTTTGTGTGTGATTATTCCTTGTTATTTAATTGAATTAAACATTAGAATCATTTTGATCTAGTAACTCCATGTTTTCTACATGACTTTTTCTTGATTCGATCTCACGATTTGGAAAAAAGATATTCCATGTTTTTCTTTTAAGGAAGAGGAAGCTCAACTTAGATAGGTAAGTACGAACTCGATATAGTTGATATGACCAAATGCTACGTCTATATATAATAATTTGTCCTCTCAACCCTCCTAACAATTCTTGGTCCCCCAATAAGACATAGGCCAATTCTAAGTCCCTAATAATGTTGTCAAGTGGTTGAACCTACCAGCCCAATAATACAACGTGTTAAATGAAATGTTTCCAATTGATAATTAGGTTGCTAGAGAAGAGGACTAGCAAACGTGCGCACGCGTTCGTGTGTGCAAGAGATTGGCATTTGTAAGATAAAGCGCAAAATTATCTTATTATGGAACATTTGAATCGTCGAATAATGGAACGGGATGATTGGTAAAACAGCGCAATTCATGGAAATTGTACATGTGAAAAGATGAAAATATTTGAAGGTGGAGGGTTGTTGTAGGGAGAATTACCAAAACAATTATAAATTTATTGTAATTGTGCCAAATTGAGTCCTAATTTTTTTTTTTGATAATTGAGTAATAAACTTTTTGCATTTGTGCCTTACCCAAAAAAAAAACTTTTTGCATTTGTGCCAATTCAGTCCACTTGGAGATTATAGCAAAAACAATAAGAAAAGATATAAAATAGGTTACATTTCTTTAAGCAAATACTCTTTTATGGCATTGTTGGCCCAAGTATTCATGCATAATTTAAATTATTTGGATGGTCTCAATGAGCAGGAAAAAAATGAAGATATAAATAACATTGGTCTAGAACGACGGCCACAAATTAGCGCACCAACCATCCATACATATAATTATTATATAAAGCAAATGCAACGTCCTCCTTTTCGGGGATCTCAATCTTTTTTTTTTTTCCGAAACATGCTCAGCTATTTAGTTTTTTTTTTTTTGGCCAGAACTCAGCTATTTAGTTTACACATTGTGTTCCGGGGCAAATGCGTAAGTTCATAATTCTATTTTATCTCTTTTATATTGAAATTTGCATCTTTTCTATCTTACAACAACCGAGGAAATTAACAAAAAAAGTCCTAAACTTATTATAATTGTGTTAATTTGGGCCTAAACCTTTTTTTTTTTACCAATTGAGTCCTAATCCTTTTGTATTTGTGCCAATTCAGTCTATTCGTCCAATTTTGGCTAGAAATTACTGACATGGACTCAAGCCGTCTGACGTGAGGTGGCCGGCGCTGATGTGGAAATTTTTAATAACATTTTAATATTTTTTGTTTGATTGATTGATTGATTTATTCTTTTCTTTTTTCTTTTCTTTCTCTTTCTTTTTTTTCTTCTTCCCTTCCTTCTTCCTTCGGCATGTTGCCGGACCTCGGCGACCAGCCGACGAGGCTAATGTTACCGTCTCTAGGCAAGGCTTGCCCTCCCCTAACAATAGCGATGTCGAGCCTCGCCATGCTGGGCGAGGGCAAGCCTAGCCTGCCCCTGGCGAGGCTCGGCCTCGCCTAGTGACGACGAGGTTGCCCTCACTGGCCCTTGCTTCTAGTTGATACAATGGTAAATTTCTCATGTGAAAAGATCTAATCTTTGCATTTCGGTTTTAGATGGGCTAGTTCTATATCTCACCTGTAGAGTTTTTTTTCTCCTCTCTTGTTTTTTTTTTTCCCTTAGATCTTGGGAGAAGAAGATTAGACCTCATTGACTGGCCAGAGGCAAGGGCACACAAGGGCGACCTCCCAATCATTGGACAAGGCCGAGCCTTGCCACGGGCGGGCTAGGCTCGCCCTCGCCCAGCATGGCGAGGCTCGACATCGCTATTGTTAGGGGAGGGTGAGCCTTGACTAGGGATGGCGATGTCGGCCTTGCCGGCCGATTGTCGAGGTCCGGTGATCGGTTAGATGAAGAAGGAAGGGAAGAAGAAAAAAAAAAAAGAAAGGGAAAGAAAAAAAAATTCAAAAAAATATTAAAATATTATTTAAAATATTTAACTCAGCACCGGTTGCGTCACATTGGATGGCCGGCGTCTATGTCAACGATTTTCAGCCAAAATTGGCCGAATTGATTGAATTGGTGCAAATGTAAAAAAAAATATTTAAGATTGAATTGACATAATTGTAATATATTTATGGCTTTCTTTTGGTAATTTCCCCGGTTGTTTTGAGATAGAAAAATGAAATTACGCATTTGCCTTGGAACACGATATCTATAAACTAAATAATTGAGGAAGTTTCGGAAAAATAGGACTGAGATCCCTTAAAAGTAGGATGTTCCATTTGCATTATATAATAATTATATCTATGGATGGTCGTGCGTTAATTTGTGGCCGTCGTTCTAGACCAATGTTATTTATATCTTCAATTTTTTACCTGCTCATTTGAGACCATCCAAATAATTTAAATTTATGCCTGTATATACTTGGGCCAACGATGCCATAAAAAGAGTATTTGCTTAAAGAAATGTAACCTATTTTATATCTTTTCCTGCTCTCTTCTTGCTGTAATCTCCCAGTTGACTTGACTCTGAGCCACACGTTGGCGACTGGCTGCAGATTTCAGAGGGTTCGTGGCTAAAGAGCTTCTCTTTTGATTGGCCCAAATATATTTAAAAAAACGAAAATAAAGATGTCATTTTTTTAATTTTTAAAATTTCCCACACCGCCACCACTTTCTGCATCTCTGTGCTAATCGCCATCCCCTCCCTCCACCATCATCTAATGGATAGAACAGATAAAACAACGTTATCAAAGTTGAGGCTGAACATGGAGGAGCGGAGTTGCCGATAATGACTGGTATTGCTTGGTGAGCCCACCGTTTCCGCTGCTGCTCCTTATCTTAACTGCTGCGTGCACTAACCTTATCAAATGTTGCGTGCACTAACCTTATCAAATGTTTGTATTGTATTGTATTGTGTTGTGTTGTGTTGTGCTGTGTTCTTTTTGGGTAAAGCATCAACATGTGTTTGCGTTTGTGCTGATGCTCTCGTGTTCACGAATCAGTTGTGCGGTCCACCTGGTCTTATCTCGTTTTGCATTCTTTCTTTTGGGTTTCCCCTCTGTCTGTTGTGTAATGAATCGGAGCACAACCACATGAACATCGACACAACAAAGGTCAAACTCGAACCACGTTCTTGGGAAGTGACGAGGTTACATCACTTGATCCCACTATCAATGAATGCCTAACTTGCTTGATTAATTATGTGAAGTGGGAGTGCGCTAAGCAGGATGGATTAGGACGTCTTTCGGGGCGATCAAAAGATACGGCCTTAAAATTAGTCATCATCGCAATGGAGCATTACTTTATCCGGTGAGCAAGTCAACCCGCGATGAGAAAAATGCAGAGTTCTCGCTCTAATTGCATGCCGACACCCTACGATAATCTGCGCTAAATTAGTTTCGTGTTGGTTCTCTATGCAAGGAATTGACAAGATAAGCTCTAAAAAGGTGAATAGTCTTGTGAATTATGCAACAGCCATATATATATATTGACCTTTTTTAATCATTATATGTACTTATAGTTGAGTTTAGCAAGTTCCCATTAATCCTTCATGCAAAGTAACATGTTAAAAAGATTGGGATGGTAATAGAAAGCCAAAAGTAAATCACCAAATCGTTTCATTTACACTGCCTAATCACTTGACCTGTTAAACGGGTGGGCCGGATCGTAAATGGTCTGACCCAAATTGACCCATTAATCCGTTTATGACCCATTTATTGGTAATGTAAATATCCCGACCCGACCCATATCCAACCCATACCCTACCCGACTCATATTACTAAAACACTTCTATATTTAACTCAATATAGGAAAACTTGTTTCTTATGACTTTTTTAAAAAATTATACTACTAAAACATTTTCATACAATACAAAGCTAGTGAAAAATTTTCATTAATTTTTTTTAAAATTGAGGTTTTGTTGCTTCATGAAAAATGCAATATTTTTATAAAATATTTTCCATGAAATCATTTTCCAAGAAAATAAAAAAATTTATAGTGTTTGGCTGAAACTTGAAAATGAACTAGAAAATATTTTCCGACGTTTGGTACATAAAATCTGATTTGATTTTACTTCATGCATTCAATTTAATGATTTAATAATTTTTTATTTTTTAAAAATCGAATTCTTAATTATTTTTATTTTTATTTTTTCTGTTTCCTTTATTTTTGGCCGGTGGCCAGCCATGGCAACGGCCGGCGATCGGCCACTCGCCGGCGACGTGCCACGGCGACACAGGCGAGGATGAGCTCGCCGGCCTCTAGCGAGGTCACCTCACCGGAGGCCGGCAAGGTCATCCCTCCCTCGGCCACCGGCCGAAAATAAAGGAAAAAGAAAGAAAAGAAAAATAAAAGTAAAAGAGAAAAAAATAAAATAAAAATAATTTCAATTTTTTTAAAAAAATATTTTTATAAAAATGGGGGAAAGTGTGTGTGGGCTTAATTGGTGGGTTGGAAATGGGTTCCACACTCAACCCATTAAGACCCATTTATAATAAGCTTAAAATTTTAAGACCCATTTGAGATGGGCTCTTCAAAGTTACAGTGACTCATATATGATTCATTTATTTTTTAAATGGGTAATATATGGGTTTAAGACCCATTTAACAGGTCTACCAATCACTAAATGCCATAATTAATGATCTTATCATAGCTAATTAGGGGCCATTAATTGCAAGAGTGGGACTTATGATAGCTTTGAGTCATGACCGATCACTTTCTATGTAAAGTAGAAAATTGCCAATAGGCTTTTATCGGCAAATCACCTAAATATGCGACTTAACACTTTTTCTATTTTCTTTCCTTTGTTTTTAGGTTTCTCTTTAATTAGAAGAAAGAGGACGTCCGTAGCCAGAGTAAAAAAGTTATTTCCGCAATGACTTTGCGATCTTGCCATGCGTGCTAGTTAAATTTATGGATAAATACACTGGAAATTCCAAAACTTATCTCGAAAATGCAATCGAGTCCTAACATTTGTTACGAAAGTGTAATTAAGTCTTAAAACTTTCAAAAAGTGCAATTAACGGAAGGACTTGATTCAACTAATTTGACAAGTTTTAGTACTTGATTGCATTTTTTGAAAGTTTCAGGACTCAATTGCACTTTCGCGATAAGTTTTAGGATTTAATTGTACTTTTTGAAAGTTTTATGATTAAATTGCATTTTCACAATAAGTTTTAGGACTTTCAATGCACTTATCCCTTATATTTATCTACAAAGTAATTCCACATGTGGAAATTGCATTTTTTATTTGGCCGCCAGCACTCGAAACAAATAATAAGCTAAAATAAAAGAAATTTAACTAGTTCTAGGAAACCACTTAGGAAGGAAAATGGACAAGTGCTTCGTAGGTTTTGGGCTGCATGGATGGATTTTTATCACCTAACCCTTTTCTCTCTGGTCAGCTTTTTTTCCTAAGGACAAAAAGCCCTAACGGGTGTCGGCTAGCATTGAAAAGCCACAATTTTTTCTTATAGTAATCCTCTCTCTTCGAGTGAAAATGACCTTTCTTTTGCCATTGCTTTCATTCAGAGAATGCGATTAATCATTGTTTAATTCATGTCATTGTTTGAGTGCTTTTCTGACTCAAAACATGGGGCACTAAACCAAGTTGTTTAGTTGCATTAATCTCAGAAGACCCTTCATGTCTCAACCCAAGTTGCTAATATGTTAATACATCAAAACATTCCATTGGACCTTTGCCATCCCTATTCGTACTGCATTCTATTCAAATCTTCATGGCAAAATGCACACCGAAATGCTGCCATCAGATAAGAGAGTTCGTGCCGGTTTCCGAACCGCGACGGTAGCAAGATTACAAGAGCAAGTCACGGATCCAATTGAAACGCGATCATATTGTTTGCATAGTTCTTGAACTTTAGTTAGATCGTGCGTCGTGGAAGATCTACTTCCGCCTAAGTTATTAGATGGAGAAAATTAGAAGTCGACTGCAATGACAAAGTTTGTCACGTGTGTTTGATTGAGACGTCGACTTTTGACTCGATAGAGATTAGGATATCACGATCGCGGGAAATTTCTCGATATTCATACTTATCATTCACACAAGTAAAGATTTTCTTCCTCTATCTAATCTAAATTGGCTGTTTTTGGAAAAATTAGATGATGGATTGAAAATAACACCTTTAGTGACGATGCAATGAAAAAATGTTGGGGGAGAAAAAACACTTAAAATCTTAGACGCCATTGCACATCTTTATAGATGCCAAACTATGCCTTGCAAAGAGAAGACACGGAACTAACTAAAAGCAAAATCATCATGTAGATTGCTAGCATATTGCGAGCTATTGATGGCAAAGTGCAAATCATGTCTGGAAAAGGATTCCAAAGAGACAGAGATTAAAGGGAGAAAAGCAACATGTCGTTGATAACGCCATAAATTAAAGCTAAGCAAACCCTGCGTAATGGACCACTACTGGCCAATTAGAGAGACAAAAAGCTCTCTCTCTCTCTCTCTCTCTCTCCATGCAGTTCCTTGCATCAACCAACCTCATTATTTCAACTTATAAAAAGACCTTCGAATTCAGTTCGAGTTTCAGACAACTCTTTTGCTCCATCAACTTTCTGTTGGATCTTCAATCTCCTTCTGTCTTCTTTGAAAGGTGTCGTGTCTCGATGTCGAGAATTCATCCGGCTGAGAATAAATGCGAGGGTGCAGCGAGAAACGGCAGCTGCCGACGCCCTGATCAATGTCCGGCCAAGTTCACGGTGTGGAAGAGATCGAGCATGAGTTTCCAAGGGACCGACGGGTTCACTGTCTTCGACGAGCATGGGAGACTTGTTTTTCGCATGGAGAACTACTCGAGGAAAGGGTGTTGCTCCGCCAGGGGCGGGCTCGTCCTCATGGATGGAGCCGGAAATGCTTTGATGAGCTTGAGACCCCAGGTAAAAGCGCCATCCTTGTGACTTGAACGAGGAAATCAGAACACGACTTTGTTTCTTGATCCGGAATCTCATAAACACACTTAATATGCTGTTGTATATGTTTGAAATGCCAATTTTAATCTGGCTTATCCAGTACTCATTGTTGTTTTAACTCATTCTATTAGATATATCGGGGAAAGTTTGTATTCTGAAACATACAATGATGAGTGACATGTTGATAGAATATCACCAATTCAATCATATTTTTTTGTTTTTTAGCAACATGGTATCGTTTATTAACATCGCTCATTCGAAAACAATACTACGTGCAAGTACTTGATTAGTTCACAATTTCGCGCTAGTGCGCCATCCAATCTAAGAGAAGCGCCATAGGTTATACTTTCTCCTGCACAATTCGATCAAAGTCCCTATAGATGTTAATATAAACGTTTTATGGCTTTGAGTCTTAATCTCATACTATTCCCCCTTTCATCAACAGATTCTGAGCATGCAATGCCAGTGGAATGCATACACAGGAGAAGATAAGTGTAAAGAGGGTCAAAACTTCAAGCTCTTTTCCATGAGACGAGTGTCATCCTTCCTCCAACGAAAAAAGGATACAGCGGAAGTCTTCATAGGGGGCTCCAAGAAACCGGCATTCACGGTTGAAGGGTCATTCAGGAGTCGAAACTGTATAATCAGGCGCTCCGGAGGTGAAGAATTCGTGGCCAAGATCACTAGGAAGAGAGCGAGCCCTACGGTTTTGCTTGGAACCGACGTGTTCAACTTGGTGGTGCAACATGGCAGCGATAGTGACCTGGTCATGGCCTTTGTAGTCATAATGGATCGCATCTGCTCTAAGTCCATCCTTTCGGTTTTGTGTTCTTAACTAGAATTGAAACCCAAGTTAGAATTCGATGAGATATATATACATGTAGAACCACATAGCTGATGAAAATATTTTACAGTAAAAATCTGCGGAAAAGTCTCAGCATTCCTCTTTCCTTTGGAGAAAGGCCAAGAGGAACTGCTGAGTGTACTTTGCGGGGTTAGATACAGAATTGGGTTCTTGAGTCTTGATATGAAAATAGATAGACATGGATATAAACTCTGTACAGATGCGTTTTATGATTATATGCTCATCTACGAACGCACTATGATTGCGATTCAACTTAGTACGATAGACACAATACGTCGACAAGGTCGAGTAGACCAAACTGTATGCGGGGATGCATCATTTGTTATTGCTGCGCATCTTCACGCCCTAACGAGATGTATTCGTTGCGATTCGTAAATGGAGTTGTCTATCTTCCTCCTCGCTCTTTGTTTGAGTGTATTCATGGCCAGTAATTTGGGATACTTTTGAAGTATGGATTCACGGAACTCCGAATCGACATCTTCAACTTTCTGATCCATAAATCTGCGCGGATTCGATTTCCTTCGAGTCATTCACGATAATGAAAAACATTTTCACACGTGCTCGGTCCGTGAGTCATCCCCGTCTCTCTAACTCTTTTCCCTAACTAGGTTTTGCTCTTCAATTTAAGTTAAGACTATTTCTTGGCACCAAGAATTGACCTAGTGATGGAGGGTTTGGAGAGGGTACACCAAAGCCATAGGATACATGATCCAAGAAAACAAACCTAATCAGGCAAAAGAAGAAAACCTAAGGTAATGTCTCCTATCTACATGCTGTCCTTAGAAATCTCACTTTCCAGTGCATATTTTATTATGGTATTGCGATTTTACGGTTTTATCATAAGCAAAAGCAACACCACTTGTGGTCTCTAGCATATGACCATTTTTACCGGCACTCGTTTTTGGGGAAAATTGTTCAAAAAAGTCCTAAACCTATTTACAGCGGCCAATTCAGTCCTAAACATATCAATTTTGCCAATTCAATCCTAAACCTTTTAAAAAGTTGCCAATTTAGTCATAAACCTTTCAATCGTGCCAATTTAGTCCTAAATCTATTAACTATTTGTCAATTTAGTCATAAACCTTTTAACGAATTGTTAATTTAGTCCTTTGGGCTAATTTTGGCCGGAAATCGTTGACGTGGCGGTCCAGTTAGCGCTGGCCGTCCTATGTGGCGCTGACGTGGATAATTATATATTTTTTTAATAAAAAAATTGATTTTTTTATTGATTTTTATTTTTATTCTTTTCTTTTTCGTTGAGCCGGCCAGTCGCCGACTGAGGGCTAGCAGAGATGGCCGGCCACTGGGCGAGGGCTGGAGACCCCAGCCGAGCCGTGGGCGAGGGCCGCGATGCCCTCGCCTCGCCAAATCTGGCGAAGGCATTGCAGCCCTCGCCTCGCCAAATCTGGCGAAGGTATTGCAGCCCTCGTCGAATTTGGCAAGGGCTTGCGAGTCCTTGCTGCGGCCGACGAGGGCGTTGCGAGCCGTCGCCCGCCCTGACTGTGGTCGGCAACGGCCTCGGCAAGGGCCACGACTCCTTCGCCAGATCTGGCAAGGGCGTCGCGACCCTCGCCGGATTTAGTGAGGGCTCGCGAGCCCTCGCTGCGGCTGGTGAGGGCATTGAGAGCCCTCACCCGGGCCCTCGCTGGCCACAGCGAGGGCGGGTGAGGGCCGCAACGCCCTTGCCCACGACCGACGAGGGCTTCGCGGCCTTGTCCAGTGGCTGGCGACTCGCCAGCTCAACGAAGAAGAAGAAAGGAAAAGAAAAGAAAAGAAAAGAATAAAGTAAAATAATCAATAAAAATCAATAAAAAATTCGATTTTTTTTTTTAAAATAGAAATTTATCCACGTCAGTGCCACTTAGGATAGCCGGCGCCGACTGGACCGCTATGTCAGTAATTTCCGGCTAAAATTAGCTGGAAGGACTAAATTGACAATTCATTAAAAAGATTTAAGACTAAATTGGCAAATAGTCAATAGATTTAAGATTAAATTGGCACGATTGAAAGGTTTAGGACTAAATTGGCAACTCTTTAAAAGGTTTAGGACTGAATTGACAACGTTAAAAGGTTTAAGACTAAATTGGCTACCGTACAAAAAGTTTGACTTTTTGGACAATTTTCCTCTCGTTTTTTAAAAATGAAATTTCACTCTAAATTTGTATGCTAGGGAGACATAACTCTCTCTTCACACTCGGTGATAATGGATTTGAATCATAATTCTTGTCCGTGACCGAAACTTCGAAAGCGATTAGTTTTATACTATTTGAGTCGATTACCTATTGCTATGTAGCGGGCTTCCAGGCCGAGCATAATTACGTCGGGATTCAACTCAATCACATGCAATAATGCACGAAATCAAGGACTAAACTGCTGAAATAACGACATTTAGGGACCACAGAAGCAGTTTTCTCAAACTGGGTGAATAAAAGACCAACTATTGTGATGTGGACTTAATGTCATTATACCTCCCAAATCTCGCTCTCCGCAAACCATAGAGCTGATCTGTGTATCAAGCCATGTCAATCCTCTATGGATTATACAAAGAGGGCTCGCATATGCAAAAAGAGCACATTAATGCTCAGAAAAACTACCCTGATGTTAACAATGAAAAATTATCACATGTTCTGAGTACATGCAACCAAACATCAACGAAAAGTTATTACATGTTCCGAGCGCAAGCAACATATTAATCTGCGGGGAACTATCGAGCCAGGTGAGCCCCATGTGAAACCATAGTGGCCACCTAATCGAATGGTCCAAAAGTATCTTTCGTGAACTCCCGGTGCATGTATTTTTGGATAAGTTGCTTATTTACAGGGCCATGGATCATGCTTGACAGTTTGGCATCAAAAGCATGCCAATTCCTCGAGGAACAAGCTGGAGATATGCCGCTGTCGGCTCAATTTCATAAACGCTAGAATGTACAATTGGTACAAATACATGTAAGAATTAGCCCTTCCATTGTTTTAACCACCCAAAAAAAATCAAGTTCAAAAAAGACATGTCCGGAATAAAAAATGTGAAAGAAAACAAGTAACTTACTCTATAATACTTGCTTTCCCGTCCAGAATTATCATCAAGTGGTAGTTTTCTCTTCCCAGGAGCGCCTTGTAGTAGCACCTTGAACGAAACAATTATTCATGCCGATTTCCACTCAAGCCGTTCGAATTCCAACCTTATGGAACAAAAAAATAAGACTCGTATCCCTCTTTGTCCGATGGATTCACTGCCAGACAGAGATCAGTCCCTTGCAAAATTTCAGACATGGTCACAGAATGTCTTCCTTTCCTGCTTTGCAAGGCAAGTAGATATTCTTTTATTTACCAAAAGAATGGGAGATATATGTCAATGTTCATGGCTGCCAGCACTTGATTCGCAGCTACCTTTCTGAGAAATCTTTCAACTGGTTAGTACGGTACCAAGTCAACAGGCATCTGCAAGACAATGCTACCAGCAGAAAGGCAGTTGAGCTTCATGCAGTTTAATCACTACCCAATCAAGGGTTCACATTGCATACACTCAATATCTGATCTTGTAGATTCAAAAACTTTCTCCAGTAGCCCTTATATTTAGGAATTCCCATCTCAAGCCATGGTTTCATGTTTCCATTGTAGTGCAAAACTGCAGCTTTCCTGATGGCTTGGCTATCAAGACCGTACTGATGCCCCAGTCCTGACAAAACCCACTCGCCATCCAAAGCCAAAATTAGGTCCTGAAAGGTAAGCAAGCTTGCACGCAGAGCAGCAGCTTCAATTGATTGCTCCCCAATATCCAACTGCAATATGCATCCAGAAAGAAGAAGGTTAGCCAGGCATCCACAACAACATTTCTAATAATCTTGCAAATGTAAATTAGTCAAGCTCTGACCAACGTCACTCCAAAACTGAAGAAACAGATACATATAAGGTGCAGAAAAAACACTTGCCAGAAAAGGGTCGTGTGTGGGCGAGAATTTCAGCGCAATAAGTCATTACAATACCAAGCAAGTACTGTTTAGAGCAGGGGTAAATGAAAAAATAAGTGCACAATGCAGTTGCGGCCTCACCTCTTGCACCAACCTTCGATAAGTTTCAGTGAGTTTTAGCTCTCTCCACCTAGCTAGATCAATCAGATTTAAACCGGACATCCAAGCACAAGAATTTTTGTCTAAACTGTTCACACCCAAGTAACTTTGTAGCTGACCCAATCTCACAGAGCAAAATTGCACAGCACCGTTCACTTTCCCTCCCATAATGAGGCCCCACAGGGCAGACAAGTCCTGCTGGACAACAACATCATCATCTAGAACCACGATTTTCTTCAAACTTGGGAATACCTCAGGGAGAAGATAATGAGAATTTGAAAAAATAGATATGTATTCTGTTCTCGTCTTGAGGATTGACATATTGTTCATGCCATGAAAGGAAACACGAAATTCCTCTGACAAAGAGAGAGGCAATAAAGCTGCTTTATCGTGGTAGTCCAAATCAAGATCTTCAACATTTAGTACTTGAACAGTGGCATCCTTATAAGCATTTTTAAAGTACCATAGCTTCATTGCAAAGTAATTCTCTTGATCTGTCAGCACATGAAAAACTAAATTTTGGCTTTCCTGCAAACATATAAGAGATATAGTAATTACAGTGACTAACAAATTTCAACAATTGAAAAATCAAAGCTTGTATCAGAAATATGTAGTCATACTTTTGCATGCATGACTGTTGAGTTTATCACCACTGAAGATGCAAGTACATTCTTGGAGAATATGACCAAATGACGCAACGTGGGGTCTAAATACTTCTCAGAAAGAGGAACCTCCATATCATTTGAATGTGATGTAAAATAGTCCACTGTGAGCCTCATAGAAAGGCAGTGAAGGCTCTTTGGCATGGTCTGAACTGCTACTCTGTAGAGAAAGGCACTTTGTTTCATATGGAAGTTAGCCTCGTCCTCAGTCAAATCCAAGATTTGACTCAACTTCTTGTATACGTTATTACAATCTACTGGAAATGACTTAGCATTTGCTATTGAAGCCTTCATTTTTTGCAGCTTCTTTCGAATCCTGATATGTAAACAAATTAAAGGTAAGGACTAAGGAATATGAATATGGCAGTATAGTTACATCTGGACAGGAAGAAAAAAGAGTAATTCTAGGGATATTAAGACAATTTACAAAATTAGTTTACAAAATCATGTGGAAAATTATAAGTGGATATTTAACAAGTGAATCCTATTCAAGTATCCGATAGAAGTCTGTCACTTCACTTTATAAATCAATCTTACAAACCAGTCTCAGTATCTTAGCATTATTCAGAGAGAAAATAACAAAATGCGATCACATACTAAATCAGGTAAAAAGGAAGCAGATGATCACAATACATGCAAGGCATGTATAGTCAAGAAAGGTAGTTAAATTTATCTACAATGTGCCTCACTCTATGACTATTGTTCGCTCATGTGGATAAGAAATCTTTACAGGAACAGGTTCCTAATGCATCAGATAATCATGATGCTGATCTAAAGAACCACTAAAGAAAGGAGCTTTCTGAAGATTAAAAAGTGAGCCGTAACTACTATGTTTCACAAACTGGAGAGGAAGCAATACCATAGATACGATGAAAAGGAATGAATAGGGTATGACAGACATGACTTCACTGATCATAAGAGTATGGCACAACAGGGTCTGAAAGGAAGGAATTGGAAGGACAAGCACAAGAAAATTAAAATGACTCCTTCCTTAACAGCCTAACTTGTGAGCGAAAACATCATTATCTTGCTTGAAAGAGTAACTGGAAGACTATTACAAATCCCAATGCACTATTTTGACATAGTGGTAATGTCAGAAGCCGCTCCATGAAAAACCACAACAAAAGCAAATGCATGATGTAAAGAGATAAATTCGATAACATCGAAAAGAGAAGGTACAGTCCAGCCCCTATCAGCAAACTTCTGTCACTATAAGCATTTCACGCAGTTTATGACTTACTGGGGAGGAAGATCAGCATCTTTGGAAGATTCACTCAGAACACGCTCAAAATCCTGAATATTTTGTCTCAATTCACGAGACAACTTTTCTTGAGTGGGAAGTTTTGCAATACTAGGAAAATATGCTCTTGCAACAAAAAGCTGGTCCTTCAATCTCTTCACCATAGAATCCTTCATATCTTCCCTATGTTCTTGCAGCCATAGACAGTAGCTTCCAAATCTCAACTCACATGATTTGCCAACATCAACAACTGCAACTTTGTTAGGTTCAAAGCCTTCAACTTTTTGAGCTTCAGTAACCTGCAATATAGTTTATTTGATTATTGAGGCTGAACGGGTATTCGCTGGATAAATTTTCAAAAGGTTCGATACGAATAGTTTGGATGCATACACACATTTGAACTTGGGACAGGCTGAAAAACTACTTTTGCAGGCGCTGCAAAACCTGCAACTGTATGAAATTTGGATGATCTCAGCAAAAAATTCTAAGAAGACAAGAGACTGCATCTCAGAAGCAGATTAGTTTCCAACCAAACCTTTTCCTTGATGACTGTCATGCTTGTTTACTGAACTGACGGAGTGGTTCTTTGTTCCACTCTCAACATTTTTAAGTATGTCCTGATATTAAACAAGAAAAGAAAGTAATATGAAGAACGAAACAGGTGGGCTGAGCCTGAATCAGATGCTTGTGAGAACGCATCAGATAAATTGTCATCTTATCATATACGAAGCCTGAGGATAGACAATATATTCACTTTTTGACAAAAAGAAACAACATTTCAAAAATTCGAACATAGTTTTGGAGTAAAAGTTCAAATTAAAAGGATGAGTGCATCAAATACAATCCTTATAACAAATAATCACAGCATCTACTATAAGTTTGAAGATACAGCATGAAGGAACACTATTCTGGAGTAGTATAAACAAGTACTTCTCAATTTTCTCGGATGTTTAATGATCTAAGGACCATTGAAAAGCTCAAACACATAATTCGAACATGAGACGAATTAGATCAGGGGAAAAGATAGTTCAAATAAAGAAAAATAAATCTATGCAGATCATACAGCAGAAAACAATCAGCAAGCAAGCTAGGGAAAGAAAGGTTAGACAAACAATGCGAAACAGATACATGTCAATCAAGTTTCCTGCAACACTGGTTGTGAGATTAAATTTGACAGGATATTATTATGCAATTTGCAGAATAAAAATTGCATAATATACAAATTTTAGGACATAAACTGCTTCCATTAGTAAGCGTTAAGGATAATCAATAATCATAGCATGCATTTCAGGAACTCAGTTTAAACTTGATTTAAATGCATCAGGAGAACTCCAAAGATTCTCTACAGTTTTCAACTTGCTGGAATAGAACTTTTCAGCTTACAAGTGCAGCAAAAGATAGACGACAGAATGCAAGGTTATAAGAGACATAGTAAACTTGGACAAAGGACCCAAAATCCACCAAAAGAAGATTATTTCCTGTGAAGGAGTCTCCTTATAACTGCTTCCATGAAAGAAAGATTGACAGAGCCAAAAAAGTGTGGATACAATCCAAGGCAGATTCAGCTCTATTGTGGGTAATTTTGGCAGGAAAAAGACCATAATCGTCGCATTCTAAAAATATGGTCATTCATTTGCAAGACAGGCATCTCTTTTTTCAAAGATCATTCCACCTCGCACTACTATCTTTTGTCAAGTACCACCACAGGAGTATGAACTTCGCATCCATAAATAATAATCTGGCAATGTCGATGCAACCTTTTCTCATCATTAATTATGCTCTTGCACTCCTATTAAGTACCACACACCTTGACCAATCCTCATATTCAAGTTTATCATTAATCTTTTAACTCATGTTTTTGGTTCTGGGTCCCTTTGTAAGAGCCATTCACAAGTCGCAACAAATTCATAACAAGAAAACGTTCAAATCCCCCAATTTAGTCTGATCAATAATACACAGTTCCTAGAAATAGGAAAAAAAAAATTGCCATCAAAAGGTTCAATTTTGCTCCCTTCCACTCAAGCGCAGATTTTTGCACTAACATTGTCCAAAAAAATGCTCTGTATCTTCTAGCATTAGAGGCTTAATAGAGCCATACTGCCCTTTTCCACTGATATCCACGCTCGTACAATACAGCAGGATGTTTTCCACAAGGATATTTGGGACCCACAAAAGTGTATTAGGAAAGTTCATCATCTATTTGTGTGACTTTTTGTCTTCTATAGCAGCCTCCATTCTTACAAATGAGTATCTTCTTACTGCTCCATCTCAGTTTAAGTACCCAGAGAAACAAGTGAAAGCGGATTGTAAAGCGAGAGAGAGTAGGAATGGCCCAAAACTTCCCAAGCTAGCTGATTAGCAAGAAAAGCCAGTAGTGCAATTATGCATCTATGGCTTAGACATTACATATAAGATGCTTTCAGCAGAGAAAGGAAAACATTTCGATACCCCCTATTTATTGCCAACTGCAATGTCAAAAGGATTTCTTGCTCTTTTTTCAAAATTAAATTTACTATATAGTGTTTTCTCCCAATGTACACAGCACCATCCCGTGTTTTTCAAATTAGTATCTCAAAATGACTATTGTTTACCCACATGCTCATCTCTATTATAATCTTTTTAAGTACAAACCCCCTTCATTCCCATCTTGTGTCTCATGGACAAGACTAAGAGTTTCATGTGAAACATTATATCCAGATGACACTGCAAATGTCAAGCTGTCACACATGTCAAATGTGGAGAAGGATTATTAATACACTGATGATAACAGGTTTATGCACATTTGCATATAAGTGGCGGAGGCCTACTTTTACAATCTTTTGCCGATTCTAACTAGTATGGGTAAATTTCCCTACAGAAAAGGCTATCTTGTCAATAATTTCAAGAATGACAGAACATCAACTCTCGAGAAAAATGCTGACATACACCATCAAAACAAAGCAAGAGAAAGACACAAAAAGACCTTATAAAGCACCTTAGAAATTGCTGGTCCCAATTTTTTAATAAGATCTTCTACGTGTTTCGAGTGATCCTTCTGCAGCATAAGAGAAAAACAAGCTATTCAACGGCTGATGGTAGAACAAAATCTTCCCCCATAAAACTTCCATACAGGAAGACAACAATTTTGCTAAAGCTCACAATAGAAAATCTTAACCAATGAACTGTGAAGCATTCCGAGGAACAAGAATGCCGTAAGTACCGGGCACAAAAAGAGCACATAAACTCATTACCTCTGACTTAGACCAATTCCTGCTTTGCACGTCGTACTTGTCATAACTCCTAATACCGCTCTGATCCCACATCACAAAACATAAGCACGAGTAATCAATGTCAAGCCATCACCCCGAAAAGCCGACCTCGCAATCAACATAATTGAACGAAAATTCAACCCGTGATTTAAAAAGAAGGGGAGCGAATTAAAAGATTCGGCCTTACTCACCGAGCCCGCATTGAGTTGGTCAGACACGAAAACTGCAGAGAAGGCCAAAACACACGAATGAATGAGCGAGAGAGACTATTCAGTTCTAGATGCCGCCCAATAGGGAGGAGGGCGGCATTACGTCAGAGATCTAGAAGACGCAACAGTGACCGATTGAATAAAATAGGCTCATGATGAGTAGCAGACGCGGAGATCGCGACTGATGTGAACCGGACTGAGGAATCAGTACGTCAGGAAGTAGATAAGCGGGAACGATCCGAACATCGTACATCGATAACGACCCCAAGAGATCCATAAATGGCGTAAGCAGTGAGGGCCGAACGGTTTCTTACCCGAAGTGGAAGCGGAGTGAAATCTGCCGAGCAAGAACCCGAGGGGGACGAGCATCGAGAGGACGACGAGGCCCAGCACTCCGATCACCAGGCCTCGCCACCGCCGCTTGCCCACCCCGCTCCCTCCACCGCCACCGCCACCGCCTTTCATCGCTCCCTCTCTCTCCTCTCTCTCTCTCTCTCTCTCTCTCCGATTCCCCTCGGCTTCAATGGCGACGCGCTCCGAGCAGCAGCAGCAGCGACACCGTGACGAGCGAGCAAGCGAGCGCCGAAACCCGTCGAAAAGCCGAGGAGCTCACCGGCGACGGGAGATCTCACGAGCCCCGATCCGATTCCGCCGGAGAGAATTGGACGAATCCTCGAGGCGCTGCCGCCGCCGCCGCCTCCGCCCCTCCGCCGCCTATCATCACCGAACCCGGTCCCGCCGGAATCGTCCGAGAACTGAGTTCGGGTCCCCGAGTTCGATCAGATCGCAATATCGCCACACTCCCTCCCTCCCTCACTCTGCACTCGCGCTCGCGCACTCGCGGGGACTCCAGGAGGAGGTGGGGTGGGGGAAGGGAAGGGAGGGAGGAAGGAGGAGATCGCACATGGGGGGAGTGACGGGCGAGTCTAGGATCACCGCCAGTGTACGGATCGAAGTCCCGCGGTGGGGGCACGCGTCGCCAGCCCATTGGTCCGAGCGTCTTGCGGTGCTTAGCCTGCTCTGCGTTGCACGGGAAGATCGTGCAACATTCCTTTTCTCCTTTTCTTTTTTCCTTTTTCCCTTCTTCTTTTTCTTTTTTCTGTTTTTTTTTACGTAAAAGTAGAGTCACGAGGAAGGAAAAGTAACGTGGCGAGAAAAAAAGGGAAGGAAAAGTAAAAAAAAAAATCTGCGAAATGCAGAACCGGAAAAGTGAGTGAACAGGATAACGCAACAATTTTAATTTCAAAAGAGAATGGTAGTTTCCAGTTTAAAGCATATCTATCCTTTTTTTTTTAAGCTATTCGATTTGAACCAATTTGATATATTTAATTTAGACGTCCTTTTCGATTCACGGCGATTTCAAATTGCAAGGTCATAGGTCCGTGATTTTAGATTAAGTAATGTCGGTGCGGTCCAATATCAGATTAAATGATGTCGATGTGTTTACATGGTGAATTTGAGAGCATAGCTAGAGAAACGAGACGGTGCGGTATCTCGACTCACGAGATATTAGATTGGTGACAGCTTCGGGTCGTCGGGGCGGGCCTGAGCCAAGCCGAGCCCTGGAATCAGCCCCAAATGTTTGCCCAAGCCTGCCCATCTTAATATTCTTATGTACAATTCGTCGGGCTGGGCCTGATCCGGCTTTCCTCGCTAAATGCCCTTGTCCACATCTCAAAACTTCGCAACGCCAACAAGAATCTCTCCTCCTCCCGTCCTTCTCAATGATCAAATGACACGAGTTTATAAGGGGTAGATAATCAATTTATTTTGTCTATAAAAAGCTTGTCATATTCCTAATAATATGCTGTAAACAAATTTTAATCCGTGGACTTTGAATGTCCGTTGATTTTGAGAATTGATCGACACCCCCGCATCAAATCCATGTAGTATGGATTGGTAATTTTCAACCCGACTCGTGTGCATGACACGTAGTTAAGCGTGCTCGGGATTGAGCTTTGATTGTATTCACGGGGTAACGCGCATCATATCATTAATGGGCCAAGTCATCTATTCTTGTCCTTGTCATCGCGACCCATTTTTTGGAGCCCTTCTCTACTCTTCCTCTGTCATAGGGTTAGATCATTCACCTATCAGGACAACAGCTTCACTCCGAAGAAGCATCAGACAGGTCGGAGTTCTTACCTTCTTGGGGCTCCATGGACTGAGCTCTGGACCGGCGAAGGAAACAGAGTGGTTTGGTGATTCTTTGAAGCCGAAGCTAGTTCTCTTTCAGCAGAATAGGATAAGCCCAGACAATCTTTGCTCTTTACATGTCATACATGAGTATATATATCTTAATCTTATCATGTCGTGCCGTGTCATGTAATCCAGTTAATAAACCTGTTGTGCTTAAGCCTCGAAAATATGAAACTATCAGTCATGTTAGGGCCAGATCTAGATGTGACACAACACGATTAGGGCCTGGCAGATTACCATGCGAAGACATGAATAGAGGGACAATTACCAAAAAAATCATAAATTTATTACATTTATGCCAGTTCAGTCTTGAGTCTTCCAACCGTGCCAATTTAGTCTTAAACATCTTCACATTTTGCTAATTGAGTCAATTTGGCCAATTTTGGCCGAAAATTGCTAACGTGGATGTCAGTTGTCCTACGTGGCACGGCTAGCGTTGACATTGACATTTTTTTTATAATATTTTATAATTTTTGTTGTTTTTTATTTTATAATTTTAACCAGCCCTTGCTGGCCACGATGCCTAGATCAAGAGAGGGCGTTGCGGCCCCGATGAGGGTTGCCCGACGACCCTTGCCAACCCTTAGTAAGAAAAAAGTGTAGTAAAGAAAAGAAAAGAAAAGAAAAGAAAAGAATAGAATATATAAAAAATTCAAAACTTCATTAAAATTTAAATAAAAAATTTTTCGCGTTAACATGTATGACATACTTAAAAGATTTATGATTGAATCAAGATAAAGAGATAATAGCTTTTTTTTCAGAATTAAAGGTCTATTATACCACGTCATTTTTGGAGTCACTTGTGGCAGATGTACTAAATTAAAAGTAAATTGGCATAATTAAAAGATTTATGATTGAATTAGTGCAAGTACAATAGGTTTATGACTTTTTTGGTAACGAATAAATGTCCTATTATCTTAATCTGAGAGTAACTTGTAACTAGAACTTTGAATGAAAAGTGATGAGAAACGGTATGCTTCTATTATCTCATCCTTCAACAACTTGTGTCGTTACCCTCAAAACTCTTAAACTCGTCGGACGATTCTGCTCATTCGTGCGCGTAAGAAAGATCTATCGCATGCCGGTGGAGCAACACTTGCATGCGTCCGATTCATGCCATGCGAGCCCAATACAAATGAATCGTCACATCACGTGAGTTTCAAGTGAAAGCTCAAAACTGGCAATAAGTTAACAACTCAGAGGCATCGGTGTTTTCTTCTTCTCTCTCTTTCATCTAAATCCTTGTTGCTAAAACATGGCCATTGATTCAAGACAAACAGACAAACCGAACAAACTAAGAATTTTGAAATGTTGTTACAATGCTGCAGTGCTAGAACGAGAAAAATGAAATGTAAAAGCAGTCTGGCACTTACACAAAAACTTTCCGTCACTTGATGCAGCTGATCAAAACTATTACACATACGAAACAGCTTACTCACTTACAGAAATTGTGAAGAGGACCAAGCCAAACCTGAACAAAACCAAAGGAAAGAGGTAAAAAGAAAAAAACAAATGACTGAGCAGATCAATGATCATGTTTCATCACTTGGGTTCAATTTTTGCAGAGAGTGCATATCCACCACTGTAATCAAAGGAATCACTATAGCTCACATCCTTCTTGGGCAAGGCATCGTTGCTGTACGGATGCCGAGGAGCCCCCTTCGACGACCCGAAATCCGTCGCCGACGAGGATGCCGATGTCGAGTTCGTGTGTATCCCGTCGTTCTGCAACACGGTCTCGATCGCCTTCACCACCTCGCTCATCGTGGGGCGGTCCACAGCTGACTCCTCGACGCATTGCATTGCCAAGTCCAAGAACCTGCCAAACCCGACGAGTTTGCCCGTGCTCCTCATGGACGGGTCCATCATTTCCCTCACGCCGTAGTAGTCTTGATCATTCTTGTCCATGGCAGTGCGAATCTCGCGGACGACGTACTTGCCCTTCTCGATCGGTTGCTTTGCGGTGATCAGCTCGAGCATAACCACCCCGAAGCTGTACACGTCACTCTTTTCTGTTAGCTGTTGAGTCATGTAGTATTCGGGATCCAAATAGCCCTGCGAAATGTAAAGCATTCCAGTGAATGTTGCTACAAATCTTGTCATCTGTTCCATAAATGAGGAGCTTTAACAAAGACAAGTCGTTGAACACGCGCGAATAATACTTACCAGTGTGCCTTTCACTTGCGTTGAAACGTGCCCCTTCGTGCTGTCCGACACCAGTTTGGACAAACCGAAATCCGCAACTTTGGCCGTCAGATGTTCGTCCAACAAGATATTTGTGGACTTGACATCTCTGTGGATAATTGGGGGATTCGCGAGTTCGTGCAGATAAGCGAGTCCTCTAGCCGAACCTAGAGCTATTCGAAGTCTCCTCTTCCAATCAAGATATATGCCTGATTTTCCTGCATTAATACATACATTTATGAACATAACATCCTTCACTAGGGACGAGTTACTAGTGTCGTGCCTATCAAGGTCTCAATTTACTGATTCACAGAGTCTACGTTGCGTTTTGAGTACCTGTCAAGCTATCCCTGAGTGTCCCGTTAGGCATATATTCATAGACCAACATCTGCTCCCCTTGCTCAAAACAGAATCCTATGAGGGCGACGAGATTCTTGTGATGGACCCGTGAAAGCAGCTCGATTTCTGTCTTGAACTCGACCGCACCCTGCATCGACCCTTGTTGAGCTCTTTTGATTGCTATTATATGACCATCAGGAAGCACTCCCCTGTACACCTGAGGCAAACCGAATAGTAGAAGGATTAAGAAAGAGGCAGTACAAGGTCTCATTTGACCTGAAAGGACTGTCGCGTCAAATGTACCTTTCCATATCCACCGGCGCCTAATTCGTTACTTTCAGAGAAATTATTGGTGCACTTCTTAAGTTCATCATAAGAGAACCATCGTGCTCCTTTCAGTTGCGGCACTCCTCCGCTATCTTTCCCACTGGGTGCCCAGGATGCTGATAGATGGACAAAAGCATATAAGTAACACTTTTTTGGTTTTCTTTGGCTTCAATCTGCGTTAAATCACTTTATAGTTCACATGGGAAGGAATCTATTACCGAAGGGTCTGCTCAACTCAAGAGCTTTCTCCGCCCGTTTCTTTTGTCGAATTGCATATATACCTAATACAACAAGGCCGAGAACCAGAACCGTGCTGCCAATAGCGATCCCAACTATCACAACTTTGCTTATGGTGGTTCCTCCATTATCTGCAAACAATGTTAATCCTGTCTCAGAAAATTCGTAGTCAGAACAAATTGTAGTGACAAGAAGATGAAGGCAAGTTACCTGGAAAAGCATAGGGGGAAGCGATGAAGTAATAGGGGCCGAATGGTTTAGGAGGCTTGAAAGTTTGGTTGGTCAAATCGAAACCGATCCTCTGAACATCTGACCGACTAAAATATTTCCCGCTCGGGGGGAAGAGCGAAAGCTGCACTTGAAGGTAGTCGTCGAGATTGAAGAAGGGGTTCTGAAGAGAAACTGAACCGGGGGTGAGATTCAACTTCGTCCACAAGTCCATTTCGAGCATGTGAAACGTGGTCACATTGGACAATTCCCTGAAGGAGGGACCTCTAAAATATAACGTCCCTTGGTATGGAAATGCGCACTCGCAGCTCTGAGGGTTGAGCCTTTCGTCGATGGGGCACAACTTGCTTCCACAGCTGGCGAGGCTGGTTGAATAAGGCTTCACTGTCTGCTGCTGAAGCTGGCAGTAATTAGTGTTCGAGAGTTGGGTAGAGCAAACTGGGTTGCCTATTAGCCTAAGGGACATGAAAATGAGTTTAAAGGTTGATGAAAATGCTCATAATCAGAGAGAAATTAGCATGTTTTTGTGAGCTCTCTCACATCAGTGTGTTTGTGTATCCCGGAGAGCCCAGCGTCACCGATGAAATTTCGTTGTTTTGCAGATCGACAAGCTGCAACTGGGGACTGATGTTGTCTCCAATGTTCAGCGTACCATTGAAAGCATTGTTCCTCAATTTCCTGTAAGAAGTTTGAGAAAGAAAATTAATTATGAACGCAACCTTTCAATGCAAATGCATTAACAACGATAATCATTGATGTTTTTCATACACTTGCTGTAGCTGAGGAAAGCTGAAGAGCTTTTGTGGGACAATTCCTTTAAGCGTTCCGTATTCTGTAACCCTGTCACGAATGAATCAGCGAAATTCTGATGTTCAGCACTTGCTAAATGAAGTATTGCGAAATGCCACCTAACCGATGCCGAAAATCGATAAAACACTTACAGCGTGGTTAGAGAAGGTAAGGTTGAGAACCAATCTGGAGCTTCCGAAGGGTCAAAGAAGTTGTTGCTAAGGTCACTGCAACAATGAATTTTTGCCATGTCAATTGGAGCACAGAGCACAACAATTTAGAAAAATAGGTGCGAAACTTCATTCTCTGCGTGTCTACTCACACGTAATTGAGGGAATTCATATCCGTCAAGTCCGGTAAAGGGCCAGTCAATTCATTATGGGCTAAGTTCCTAAACAAAACTTGATAAAATCAGAACGAGTCTTGTTAAACCCTTCTCATATTGTCCCAACATCATCATATTAGAAGTGTTTACTCACAGTTCACTAAGGTTTGTGAGGCTGTTGAGATTCAGAGGGACTTTTCCAGATAACGAATTCCTGTCAAGTCGACTGCCTCGCATTCAAACAGTTGCAAGAAAACTAGTTAGCAGAAAGAAGAAAAATGTACTTGGAAGGATGTTTATGACTGAGAAAGTAAATGTCGAAAGTTTTCTTTTACTCACAGAACCTCAAGATCCACTAGAAGTCCTAATGAGGATGGTATGGTACCATTAAGCTTATTTCCATCGAATAAGCTGTCAACAAGCACAGAGCGGTGTTAAGAAGAACAAGAGCTAAATGTAGGATGCAGTATTAGCACAGAAACGTACACGTGTATTAGAACCATCTCTGAGCTGAATAGCTTTTCCGGAATGGGCCCTGAAAGCTTGTTCTTGTTGAAATGACTGAAACATTAATTCAAGTCGTCATTATGCTCAGCATTGTCACACAAAGTTGTGGTCTTTTTTTTGAAAGAGGATCCTTAGTTCACATTCAATTGCTCACTTGCATTGTGAGTCGAGGGAACCAAAAGACTTACAAGTGCTTTGCTTTTAACAGGAGGTCCAATCCGGGGGATGTGTCCGTTGATATCGGAATAGGCCCCGTTAATTGATTATCAGCCAGGTCAAGCCAGTAAAGCTTGGAGAGTTTACCCAAGGAAGCAGGTATATTACCCGTGAAGTTGTTCGAGTTCAGTGCCCTGTATTGACATGTTCAAACCAAAGAAAACGATGAGCTTAAAAAGAATTATGCAAGTCAAAAGCACAAAACACCACTGAGACCGAAGGCGTACAAGAACGATAGCTCCGCAAGGTTGCCCAGTTCGTCCGGAATACTACCGGTGATACTACAGCCGGCTAAAATCCTGAAATTACAAAAAAAAACCAACACTTACGATATGATCAATGTCCAGGAATAAATAATATAGTCAAAATAGACAATGTGACGGCTATTACAGTATGTTCAACTTCTGTAGATTGCCCAACTGCCGAGAGAGAGGACCAGTGAGGTCTTTGTTGAAGGAAATGTCCCTGCAATTAGAATATAGAAAAAGTAAGTTTGAAGACTGACTCAAGTTAGTTGCCTAATAAAATTGAGAATGGGAAAGAGAATAAGTACTCATGTATTTATAGTAAGAAGAAGGACTCACAGAGATCTTAGTTCCGTGAGTCCTGCTATGTCACTACTTAGCTGGCCCTTGATTCCCATGGTCGATAATCCCCTAAAAGTAAATTAATACAGGTGAGTACATGGCTAAACCGATCCAATGCCGGAAAGAGAAAGATGTGAGGTTGATGATAATTAGGATCAGACACAGGAAAGGTACTCACAGTGCAGTTACCCTCGAATTGCCATTGCAGGTTACTCCTTCCCAAGGAAGTCCGCACGGGTCACTCGACCTTCCCCAGCTAGGCGGCGTGTTCTGCCATGTGCTCTTGAGGGATTGGAGAGCTGCGGCTGATCAAGCACAGTCATTCATATTTCAACATGGTCAATTCAGTGACGGACTATGATCATTTAAGCACCAAAAAATGGATCTAATATATTATGGACCACCTAGAAAAGTTTCCCCTCTATAAACATTTGCAACTTTAAATGCTGCCCTAATAGAACTCTTCTCCTACAGCCCCAGTTGAATCGCCCGAGAAAGTAGCGCACGGGTATTTAAGAAGATTTATCACACTGTGAGGATTCTTTTTCGGGTTGATTGTAAATGACCCCCGATCGGCGATATCTCCCTTATCTATCAAACTTTACGCAATCCAACCTCGAAAACACTACAAGCTCAGGAGTAAGAGATGCATGAGACGCGAATATGAGATCCCATTACAAGCATTTCCTAAAAAATATGTAATGGGGCATGAATCTATTGGTCCCTGAAGACTAGAAATCAGCCATTTTTCAGTCCCCAATGTACAGTATTTGCCCCAAGACTTAAAAATGCGAACCCCATATGGGATCCTTAAAAATTTGGGTGTAGGGATATGTCCAGGTTCAAACATCAGCTTCTTATCACACATGCGAAAGCACTGAAATCGAAAAGGATCACAAGATCATTACTTCCTTTCCCTGTTAGGAAAGTCATTTGACCTGCCCTGCTTTGTGACTCCAAATAGAGAGATAAAAAGACTGCTCAATTCTTAAATATTGGTACTTTGATACTGATATTGTCATGATCTACAGATGAAAACTAGCCAAAATAGGCACTTCCCCAGGCAAGTTCTTAAATTGAAAAAACGTCCTTTTGACTCAGAAGACAGACACTGAAGTCCCCAACAGGCACATTTGAGCAAGAGTACTTACAGTCATCAGGATTGGTGAAAGAGAGAACCAGCTGCAGATTCTTCCCAAACAAGAACACCACCACCAAGAAGATCACCCTCAAAATGGCTTCCTCCATACCTTCACTAGCTAAGGAAAAAGAAGTCAAAGAACTCAAGGAACTCTTCTTGCCTCTAAGGCTCTTCCTGTTATTGACCCAGTCCTCTGTGACAACTTGCAGAGCATAATGAGAACGTGAATATGATATTGATGTATGGAAAAATCAGCACAGAGTGTGCAGGGAGGGTTGGTTGAAGACCCTGTCAAAATACCTTGCTCCAAGAGAAGAAAGGGATGGGAAATGTAACAAAAATAAATAAAGAAGCAAAGTGGGTGTGTGCTTGCTTTTTAATTGATTTTGCCTTGTCTTTGAAGCCAATCTATCTCCCTCCAGCTTCCCACCACCACCACCACCACCACCACCACTACCACTGAGCATCAGCCATCATTCTTCACACCCCTTGCTTTCATTATGCCCGCCGTTAATCACACTTAAACATCAGTGCAATGGACGTCTCACCATTCCTCTCTCTCCCTCTCTCTCAATCTCTTTCTTCCTTCTTTCAAACCGAGGATAAAGCTTCAGCCTCATGAACAAAACATATGATTTGCTTGTGTTTAGTACACTTGAAGGCACCATCATGTCTTGCTGGTTGCTGTCATAACTTTTTTCTATTAAGAAAGTAATTTTCATGGGTATTATTTTATGGAGCACATGCTATCATATAAGTATGTCATGGGTCTCAATTTACAGTCATTTAAAAAAGATTATGGTAGAAGATTTCCTCTTGTTTTTTTTGGTTCTTTGTTTTCTTTAGAGACAAAATCTGGTTTACCACCCGCCTGGGTGGCGCTGCTGGAGCACGCACTCTTCCTCTCGCAAAAGGTTGAGTGTTCGAATCCCGGTGCCGCATGGTGACTTAACCGGTGTACGTGTGTGGTGGCTAGCACGTGTCGCCCCAGGATTTACCTCCCGACTGTCGGCCGTGCGGGAGTTTCCTGGGTCATCATAAAAAAACAAAAAAAAAATCTGGTAAATTTGGTAATCAATGTGCAGTTGGGAAGTAGGTGGAGGTGGCCCCACATTGACCTTAAGTTTGTATGGACAAGGATTGATCCAATGCGCGATATAAATGGAACACCATTTCAGGACATAAATGCCAAAGACAAGGACACAAAAAAGAAAAATTAAATAAATTAAATGTTGGAAAAAAGTCATTAAAAAATCCTAAATTATACCCAACGTGATATATTTATCATAAACTTTTTCTGTGACACCATAAATTCCAAATTTGTAACTATATGACATATTTACCTTCCGTCAATGAGAACCGTGAAAAACGAAATTGCCAGTGTTAACGTATAAAACCGTTAAAAAACTTATTCTGGCTGAAAAATCATCTAACGGAATCCTGACGGAAAGTAAATGTATCACATAAATATAAATTTGTGATTTTTTATGTCACAAGAAAAAGTTTAGGGTATATGTGTCACGTTGGGCTTAATTTTATGTCACAAAAAAAATCAAGGAAATGTGTCACAGTGGATATAATTTGGGGTTTTTTTTTTCTTTTGCCCAAGAATGTACGAGATTAAAACACAAAATTAGAGGAAAACATAAAAAGGAAAATGGTAACTGAGAATTTATGAACACGGGCAAGTCTAGTCAATCAATTTCTATGGCCCATTTACAGTAAAAATATTATTTTTTTGGAAATAGTTGCTAATTATGTCTAGCTAGGCAAGTCATTGAGTAGCACAACCCAAAGTCGACTAAGGAAGAGCACGATTAATAAATACTTTCAATGCGCATGTGGGAGGCAACATGATGAAATTTAGGGTTTCAATTCTCCACATGTAATTAGGAATTGAAGTCTCAATAGCTTTGCCTTTAAAATGATACCGTTCTCTAAAAAAATTGATTTAACGGTTAAGAAATAAGTATATGTGAATTAGTTGCACGATATATGGATCTAATTTCTTGCATTGCTAAAGGCAAGCGGTTTCAAGCTCCGACTTACATCTCGTTGGGTGAATAGTTCACCGTGAGATTAATTGAGTTTTTTTTATGGATCGGGATCTTTCTATCTAAGGAGGCCTGGTGTCTCGTTATTAAAGAAACGGAGAAATCTTATCTCGAAGAACAATAATCCTCTAGTCTTACTCGATTAGATGACGAGAAACCCCTAAATTCAATGATGGCAGATGGTCCCTCGAGTCTTAATCCATCCCCACACAAACAAATTGCAAGTGGGATGAACAGAAAACCAATTCCCTTAAGGCAATGGCAATTGATTTAGGCCAATTTGAAGACAAAAAAAAAAAAAAAAGGGATGTGTAGGAATATGAAGAGAGAATCAGGCCATTAATTACATGTCAACCTCACTATTACCTCGCATGGTTCTAAACCATAATTTGGTCCCTTGGGCCACGCCATATAGAAAAAATGACCACAAAAGAATAGTAGCAATAGCAAAGTCAGCTGTCTAATCAAGAGGGAATAGTAGTCCTTAAAATAAATCTTCATCCTAATTGGCAGTCGATTTATCTTGTGTATCCACTATTTCCTTTTACGTGCCTGATGAATGGTCTCATTTTAGGGCAAATTGTCTAATCAGTCCTAAATCTATTATATAGATGTCAATTTAATACTAAACTTTTCAAATTTATCAATTTAATCACAAAACTTTGAGCAAAATTCCAATATAGTCATTCCGGTAAATTTTTGTTGGAAATCATCCACGTGGAGGTGTGTCACGTAGGACGGCCAACGATAACTAGATTGTCACGTCAGCGATTTCCGGCAAAAAATTGACCGAAAGGACAGCATTAAAAGTTTACGACCGAATTGGCACTCATACAATAAGTTTAGGATTGATTGGATAATTTCCCCTCTCATTTCATCAAGATTTTCAATATTTTTCACCAATAATTAGAAACATCAGCCAAAGACCGGAACCGACAAGAGGTTCCTACCCTTAAGCACGAGGATTTAGGAGCATTTGCCCCTCCTAATCGAAATTGTACGCATCCTAATTAACAGTTACCGACGTTTTCACAAACTTATCAACACTGTATTTTTACCTTAGGGAACGCTAGAATCGCCCTCCTAGCGGTCGTAATCGAAAATCGAGGAGTTCCAAATATTGAAGGCTCGAATTTCTGGGATCCCGATATGTTTTGTGAAAGTCCAAACATTTTAATTTTGGATAATTAGTGGGTAAAAAGGTAGAAAAAACATGTTTTCTTGGGAGATCAAGCGGGGGGACAAGAATAAAGGAAAGCACCGAGTAGGTGAATCATTGTGAATACTATTTTTAGCAAAAAGTCAAAACTCGTGTTTACAGTTGGCCAGTCAACTTAAATATAATTGACCGAGACCAACCTTCGCCCCGTTTGTATTTTTTTTCCCCTATGTCCAACCTAGGGTCCTCTTCTCTCCTTGTCGTCTTCGTACATGAGGAAGAGTTTGAGCTAGATCTCTCCCTCTCTTTTCCTTTCTCTTTGGTTGATTTGGTTCTCTGTTTGTTTTTTTTTTTTTCCTTACTTTGCTCATGTTTTGAGGAGCTTTTCTCTTCTGATCTAATTTAGGCTCCGTTCGTTTGGCGGAAAATATTCTCCTTTTGGAAAATATTTTCCCGGAAGTCATTTTCCTGGAAAATGTTTTCCCGGAACATAATTTTCCGGTGTTCGGCGACCAATATGAAAAAGTTTCGGAAAATATTTTTCGCCGGCGACCGGCTGCGGCATCCGGCGGCCGGCGACCGGCCGGCGGCGACCGGCAGCGGCAGCGGTGGCGGCCGGTGACCGACGGCCAACGTCCGGCGGCCGGCGACGGCGGCCAACGTCCGGCGGCCGGCGGCGGCGACCGGCGGCCGGCGTCCGGCGGCGTCCGGCGGCCGGCAGCGGCGGCCGGCGACCTTAGTGAAGAAGAAGAAGAAGAAGAAGCTCCGGAAAATGATTTCCGCTTTTAAAGTAGCGGAAGTAATTTTCCGTAGACTTAGGCTATTTTGTGAGGGGGGGAAGGAAAATATTTTCCCACGGAAAACGTTTTCCGCCCCCCCGAACACCGGAAAACCCGGAAAATATTTTCCGGGAGAATATTTTCCACCAAACGAACGGAGTAGATTTAGAATTTTTTTCTCTCCTGCTTCGGGGAGGTTTCTATCCCAATGTAGTTTAGATCTAGGGTTTTTGCATGTATGTTTTCGAAGTTCGGCCTCTCTCGGGTTTCGAAGGAGATTAGAGGATCTTTGTAAAGCTTTCGCTCTCACAAATGTCAGATTTGTACCCGTTCAACCTTGTTACGCTGAACGGCAATGGTGTTAGGGACGCTGAACCTAAACACAAGGCAATGCCGTAACATCAGATGAAAATCTCGGTGTACTCATTACTGAAGACGGATTCGATGATTGGCTGCCGATTTTGATTTGAAGAAGTCATCAATCTGCTCTTTGAGCGTGTGAGCATAATCTTTTTTTGATATTCATCGTGTTATCCGGAGCTTGTTTTGTATTTGTCTTGGATTGCAGTTGCACGTTGCTTCTCACTTGTGTTTAAGTGGAAATGAATAAATGTTACTTTGACCACAAAAAAAAAAACCAATATAATTTAAAAAACTTGAAATGTAAATTAAAACTAATTGATCATCACTCCTATACATTGACCAAATTTTTAGTTGGCCGGAAGACGCACTTTGACAGTTTGCGGTTGGTAAGTACAGAGAAAGATGTGATGCTCCATTGAAAATGACAACAAAACCAGATGGGCTCTTCCACAATCCGTAAGCACGTATTAATGCATCATGAAAATGTCAAAAAAAGTTACATTACCCAGAAGAACCTGATGCACCAAGAGGTATTTGAACATTTAACCTAAAGAGAAAGGAACAAGTATGTGACTCGTGCGATCCACAGTTACTTTGGTTCGATCTTCGTCGAAAGCGCGAACCCGCCGCTGTAATCGAACGAATTGCTGTAACCAACATCCTTGCTATTGAGTGAAACATCAGTGTACAAAGGATGTCTAGGAGCACCAGTGTTTGATGCTACAAAGTCCGTGGCGGATGAGGACGCGGACGTCGTGCTCGTGGCGATCCCGTCGGTTTGCGAGATCGTCTCGATTTCCTTCACGACTTCGTTCATCCTGGGACGGTTGCTGGATGATTCCTCCACGCATCGCATTGCTAACTCCAGGAACTGAGCGAACCCTGCAAGACGCCCCATGTTGCGAAGGGACGGATCCATGACTTGGCGTAGTCCGTAATAGTCTTGGTCGTTTTTGTCCATCGCCGTGCGGACTTCGCGGACGATGTACTTGCCCTTGTATATTGGCGGCATCGAGGTTATCAGTTCAAGCATCACGACCCCAAAACTATAAACGTCACTCTTATCTGTTAGTTGCTGGGTCATGTAGTACTCTGGATCCAAATAGCCCTGCAAGATCACAAGTTCCGAACGATCAAAATGAATTGTACTCAGTTCACGTATCTGTGGGTATCCTGTGTTTTCCTTAATTCTAGGGCATCTGGCATAAACATATCATCTGCTAAAGTTTAGGTTTAGACAAGAGGGAACATATTATCAGTTGGAGATCGATAAAGAACTAGAGGTTATCTTTCGGGTAAGATTTCGTAACCTGCCACTGTCGCCTTAAATGGACATTCATGTAGGAGTATACCATACCAGTGTGCCTTTGACTTGTGTTGAAACATGTCCTTTCTCGCTGTCCGCCACCATTTTAGACAAGCCAAAGTCCGCAACTTTAGCCACCAAATTTTCATCCAGCAAGATATTCGTGGACTTAACGTCTCTGTGAATTATTGGGGGATTCGCGAGCTCATGTAGATATGCCAGTCCTTTCGCAGAGCCGAGAGCGATCTGCAGCCTCCTCTTCCAATCAAGATGTATGCCAGTTTCCCCTGCATCAAATATATTCAGTGCCATTGCTACTAGACAATAGGCAGATTCATTCACAAGAAAACTCTTTCCTCATACTTATAATAGAAATAACGAGACAAGAACAAAGCATGATATGCAAAGTTTTATATGGATCTATCAAAGCTCGATGCCATTTAGGCCAAGGAAGGTACCTGATAAGCTCTCCCTAAGTGACCCATTAGGCATATATTCATAGACCAACATCTGCTCTCCTTGTTCGTAACAGAAGCCGACGAGGCCAACAAGATTCTTGTGATGGACTCGAGAAAGTAGCTCAATTTCTGTCTTGAACTCATTCGCGCCCTGCATCGACCCCTGCTGAGCTCTTTTGATTGCCATCACTTGACCATCGGGAAGCATTCCTTTGTAGACCTATCAGATCAGTGATAAAGAATTACAAAGCAGCAGATTGAAGCATATTATAATTGACGGGCGATTGGCACAGCGCATGGTTTTTACCTTTCCATAGCCCCCGGAGCCTATCTCATTACTTTCAGAAAAACTATTGGTGCACTTCTTGATTTCATCGAAATAGAACCACCTCGCCCCCTTCAACTGTGGTGCTCCTCCGCCATCACTTCCTTTCGGTATCCAGGATGCTTAAAGATGGATAAATCAATGTGAGGGAGACAACAAAATTCTGGGTCTTATTTATTTACTCATTTTTTATGATATTAGCAATCAGCCTGTCAAAGTGCTTTAGTAACAAAAGGATGAAGAGTTCATTCATTAATTACCAAATGGTCTACTTAATTCCGTTGCTCTCTGTGCTCGTTTCTTCTGTTGAATAGCGTAAATAGCTGACCCCACAAGTCCAAGAATCAGGACTGCGCAGCCAACGGCAATCCCTGCTAGGACGCCTTTGCTGATGCTTACGTTGTTACCTGGATCAGTTTTTCATGTCAAGCACATATGAATGATAGTCAAAGCTAATGTATGAGAGGATGAAATTAAGTTACCTGGGAATGGATAAGGATATGCGCTGAAGAGATAGGTACCGAAACTGGGTGGCGGCTTAAAAGTTTGGTTAGTCAAATCGAATCCGATCCTCTGAATGTCTAACTTGCTGAAGTACGTCCCATTAGATGGAAAGAAAGACACAGGTACTATAAGATAGCCACTGCTTGTATCAAAGCCGATATTCTGAAGAGAAACTGAACCATTACTTAGGTTCAATGTCTGCCACAGGTCCACTTCCAACGATTGAAACAGAGCGGAATTGGACAAATCACTGAATGATGGAGCTTTAAATATCAAATTTCCATTGTATGGAACTGCACATGTGCAGCTTCCGGGGTTAAGCCTCTGATTAGAGGGACATGATGCACCACCGCAGCTGGTTGGGGTAAAATAAGCTTGTTGCTGCTGAACTCTGCAGTAGCTCGTGGTTGAGAGGACAGGCGCATTAGTGCATGCCGGGTTTCCTATTAGTCTGAAGTAAAAAGACAAAGCGATTAGCATAAAAATGTCTACCATATCTCAGAATGGAAGTCTAATGCCTGTGAACTGTCTGTCTCACATTAATGCATTTTTGTAGGAACCGGTCGTCAGCGATTCAATCTGGTTGTCTTCCAAATTAACGAGCTGCAATTGGGGACTGATGCTGGTACTCATGTTCAGCGTTCCGTTGAAAGCATTGTTACTCATATCACTGAAGAAGTTCGATAAATCATCAAAATGGTAGAAGAAAGAGGACACAGGCTAGAAATATTTTTTCCTTACACTTGCTCTAGCTGGGGAAGGCCGAAGAGGTTTGGTGGTACAGTCCCTTGAAGCGGTCCATTTTGTATGATTCTGGTCAGAGTGCAATAAATTTTAGGTCGCCCACTAGTTTCAGAAAGCCATACAACTTTATATTGTACCGATTGCACCGAGAAATCTTACAGAGTGGTGAGAGATGATAAAGTTGAGAACCAATCTGGAGCTGCTGAAGCCGTGAAAGAGTTGTTGCTGAGGTCACTGCAAAGGTACAATTTTGCCCAGTCAACCAGCCAGTGCAATTAGCCATGTGATATCATGCGGGAGAGAGAAAGCCAGGGTTTCTTACTCACATGTAACCGAGTGATGTCATCCCCGTTAAGTTTGGCAAAGGACCATTCAATCCATTACGTGCTAAATTCCTGAAGGAAACTTAGCAGAATGAGGGGAGATTTTTGGTGATCTCACTAGAATACCATTGATGAAGAAATCTATACTCACAGTTCACTGAGTTGTGTAAGGTTGTTGAGAGTTGAAGGGACGTTTCCAGAAAAGGAGTTCCTATCGAGTCGGCTGTGGCATATTATGCAATGTGAGTCCCGATAAATTTAATTGGTGCCAATGGATGATAATTAAATATCCCGAAGCACAAAACAAACATTAGGTGAGTGGTTACTCACAGAGCCTCGAGTGTCTGAACAAGGCCTACTGTGGATGGTATAGAACCAGTAAATTGGTTATCATCAAACAATCTGTCAACAATAGCTATCACAAGTTAGAGCAGAAAGCTAGGGATATTATATCAAGTGATGAAATTGGTAACTTACATGTGTATCAGAGACATGTTTGAACTGAACAGTTTATTTGGTACGTTGCCGGACAGTTGGTTCTTGCTGAAGTGGCTGAAGTTAAGGATGCAGCACAGTCCAAACAATTAACGAGGAAAGAACATAAAGATTCTGTCTCTTATCACTAGGAGCTGGAATAAAAGGATCCTTAATATATATTCATCACACTAGGCACGGAATTATTGTAGACAACTTACAAGTGATTACAATTGAACAAAAGGTCCAACCCTGGGGTGGTGTCTGTTGAAACTGGTAGCGATCCAGTTAACTGATTTTCCGACACGTCAAACCAGTACAGTTGGGAGAGTTTACCCAAAGAAGCAGGTATGTTACCGCTAAAATTGTTGGAATTTAGCGCCCTGATAAAAATGGCCATTTGAAAAGTCTAAGTAAAACATACAGCTAAACTTCCATAATCAGCCAATTAGTATTCTCATTTTGACAAGCCTTACAAGAAAGTCAGCTCCGAAAGGTTGCTCAGTGCATCGGGAATACTACCACTGAAGCCACATCCAGCCAAGATTCTGAAAATTGGAAAGATCAAGGTTCATACATGAGAGAAAAGGGAAAAATAAGCTGTCTTAGCGATGAATGCGGTCAAAAGGGATATTACAAGATATTCAACTTCTGGAGATTTCCCAACTGTGAAGGGATCGGTCCGGTGAGACCCTGGTTAAAGGAAAGATCCCTGCAGTTAAAAGGTTAAATGAGACGAATAAGTAGACTCATTCATATGCTAGTTGATGATTGAACATGTAAAATGACCATCTTTGCTTTGAAGCACTTCATCTATGCAATTCCTGTTACACATCGAAGAATCAAAATATGATCATGATAGAAGATAGAAAGACAAGAAACGCACAAAGAAGTGAGTTCTGTGAGCCCCCCTACGTCGGCTTGCAGCGTCCCTTTGATATTCATGCCAGATAACCCCCTGTCAAAGTGAAAACAGAAAGAAAGTATCACAGTCAATGGCCGCTAAAATGGCATTATTGCTATTAAAGAAAAAGGACCGAAAATTCTAGGAACTGAGAACAGGAATGAGCACCAATGAGAACAAGTAGAGAGCACTCACAATCCGGTCACTCTTGAATTACTGTCGCAGGTGACTCCATCCCAAGGCAGTCCACAAGGATCACTGGACTTGCCCCAGCTGGATGGTGTGTTCTGCCACTGGGCTTTCAGGGCTAAAAGAACAGCTTCTGCACATTTATACGGCAAAAAAGAAAAAGAGTGAAATGTTTAAGATGGGAAAGGGAACCCATTTTGCCTAGGCCACAAGCTAACAAGGTCAAATGCACATGCGAGTCTCCAGAGATCTGTTGTCGATGCAAGATTTTTGGAGAAAATTTTTAAAATTGGAAGAGACATGGTGTCGTTGTGTACTAAAGCTCTCTGATGGCTGCAGCAGGTGGGCAAAACTGCTAACGGTTGTAACAGCCATTTCCCCTAAAATTCTCATTGACAGAGATTTGGCCATGCACTTTTTTCGCAGTTATTAAAAGTGCAGACTTCCCACTGATCTTCAGTTGTTTCAGCAGAAGCATCTCTTTTCTATTGCTGGGGCAACTATTCAAGGATGGATGCAAATAGACAGTTTATCTTTTCCTTAAAAATTCAGTTGTTTCGCATTTCTTTCGAGGTCAATGCCAGAACTTATTGTTCGTACAGAACGTATGATGAGATATGAAATATCATAACTCTAGAATTCTACAGTGCAGAAAAAGGCGAACATGTTCGACAGGGCTAAAATATTTCGTGTTCTGCTTTGCCTCAGAGCAGATACTCAAATTGACTGCATGGACAGCTAAGACAACTTTCGTGGCAATAACCATTAGATCTATTCTTGGCATCTAATCTCTATTTATTCTTGGGTTCCACGTTGCTGAAATTTTCTTCAAGGAACAAGTATAATTCTATCCAAGTTTATGGACTTGGTAATGGTTAACAACATAGCGGGAGACCTCTTTCTTGCATCTATGTCAGTTCTTCCTTTGAGTAGTTATACCGAGGCTAGAATGACTCAATCCCAAAGCACATAGCAAAACAGTATATAGTCCTAGTTGATCAAGACTCGAGGGACAATTTGATACAAGAAAGACCTGCGAAACTAGCATCCTTTTTAAGCATTTACGCAGATACATGACGCACTCTGGATGATTCTCCAGGCTCAAAGAGACCGAAAGTAGTCCTTTCTTAGTTCCAATAACATAACTTGTTCACGTCTCGCCAGACAAGCTAAAAAAAACTTAAAAACCTGAGGAATTCTAAGTTCTACACAGACAGCTTAAGTCCCTGAACCTTAAAAAAAGAAAAAACAAGCTGTGTTGGTTTCTAGCCACCTTTTTTCTCACAGCATCCCCAAGCCAGGACAAGATGAACCCAAAAGAAGTACAGATGGAAAGAAAGAAAGAACATGAATGACGAGGAATTCATAGAGCATAGCCACATACATAAACAAATACATGTGTGTGCACTTACGGTCATTAGGGTTTGTAGTAGAGCAAATCAAATGAATCCAAGAACAGAAGAGAACCAGAAACAAGAGCAACCGGAGGTTCTTGCTTGCCATTTCTCTGCCACCTCTCATTCCTTTTCCAAAGTCAAAACTCTGCATCTTCTCATCCACCACCATCTTAATACATATTGTTCTGACCCAATATCAAAACGTGTAGTAAGGCTCGTTCAAGACTGAGTTGTTAGGTCTATCTGTTTAGCGCTTACCAAAAATAAAAAATTATATTCTTTAGGACAATCTGGGAGCGTGAACAATGAAGAGGTGGGGTTTGTTGATGACCCTGTCAAAAAAAACATCTGGTTCAGAGTCAAACAAGAAAGGAGGGAGGAAGCAATGGGACAAGCTTTGGATTGTTTCTCTCTCTCTTTTGCTTGTTGGGTTTGAGTTTGATGATTTTTCTCTGTTTTGGCTTGTCAGGAGTTAACATGACTCATTCTCAAAACTCTCTCCCATTAGTTCTCACCAGAGACTTTTTCCATCACAGTCGCGATCCAATAAACCTTTTTTCGATTATTTTCCTCCGGCCGTCTCTCCACCATTTTCCATCACAGTCACCAGAGAAGAATGTGTAAACAAAGGCTTGCTCGAGTATTCTGCTCCTCTAGTTTCGCTTTTCTTGTTTTAGGAATAGTTGGTGTCCATACCAGTTTCACACGACAAATTGATCGTGGTACCTCCCCGATTTGGTCAAAGATAGATCGTCCACAATGCCACGAGGAATTCTATCCTCGTTGGCCTTGAAATGTTGTGTTTGAGTAAGAACTTAATACAAGACCTCTTGCTACAGGAGACCTAGGGTTTTCGATGACTTTATCATTAGGCTAACCTCTTGAATCTCGCAGACCATTTCCATCTATGATTCTCGAGAATGTACATCATGCCTATGCTATTGCGATACTCGTGCATTTTGCTGACGTACCATAATCAATTTTCATCAAGAAATAAAAAAAAAAAGTTACCTCGATATTAACGATGTCTCGTTTATCGATCACGGGATACATAATTACTCTTCGACTCTCATCCTAACATACGAGGAAGAGGACCTTCCCCTCAAAATGGAACGAATTCGAGCTAATTGTTGTACTAATTTGTTAGTCCATCTGCATCTTTGTAATTTTGGCTGATGTGCTTCGTGTGCATACACGAATATTTAACGACGGCCGATCTACAGAAAAAGACAAAAAAAAAATGCAATAAAAAGCATGGTAGTCAACTAAATGAGAGCAGGTGGGGGGGTGGGTGGAGAGAAGAGGGTCGCACATAGTCTAAGAATATGTTAGCTAGCTAGTGTTCGGAGAGCATTTACTAAGAATTAATTAAGGAACCAAAAAAAAAACAGTGTTCTTGTAATAACTAATTGAAATTTGTCTCGTGAAAAATAGCTACCATTATCCTTTTTTTTTTCTTGTTTGAGATTTGAATTTCTCTTAATATGGAATCTCTGAAATATTTAAAATCGCACGACCGTCCAATATTCAGAACAATTTAAGTTATTGTAATCATACATAAGTTTTTTTTAATTAAAATAAGTACTTAAAAGAACTTGTCCTGTATAGATCAATTGTGGCTCCGTTTATTTCGCGAAAAATGAATGATTTAGAAAATATTTTCCTAAAAATGATTATTGTATTGCTTGAAATATATAGTTAATGAATTTTTTTCATTATTAATAATAATTTATGTCTAAATATTTTCTCGAAACTAATGTACCATTAGTAATAATATCTCCATTTAAAATGAAATGAAAATTAATGAGATCCTTGACATTTAGGGGTTGAGTTTTTTCTTTTGCTCGAAAGGGACGAGTTGACCTTTCATAAATGACACATGAACAAAATTTGGTCAATTTGAGAATTAGGGTATTATTCGGATCAAATTGGTCGCCATCCAAAATAATTTGTTCTTTTATTAAAAAAAGTTGACGATAGATAGACATTCTCAATATGGAAATTAAAATAAATAGAAGGGAAAAAGCCACCAAAAATCTCAAATTGTGCTCCATGTGATACACGTACCGTTAACTTTTTGTCGTGACATCAAGTACTCCAAACTATATCCATTGTAACACATTTATCTTACATTTTTTCTTGAAACATAAAAAACCCCAAATTTGTATTTATGTGATACATTCACCTTCTATCAAGATTCCGTTATAAGACTTCAATCAAAACAACGTCGTTTATAATTCATTTAAGTCACCCGGACACTGTGTTAATACTATTTGCCTTCCGGTATCCATGTATGCATATTTTTATCGATGCTCATTGAGGATCAAGTGTCACATAGGCAAAAGTTCGGGATTTTTTATGTTATAGAAAATCTTTTGAATAAAAGTGTCATAATAGACATAGTTTAGAAGTTTTGGTGACTTTTTTCTCTAAATAGAACCACCGCAACATTCGGGAGAACTACCGGCCCCCATGCACGGACCATCAGTCGACCAAAGCCCTAGAAACTCACACTGCTCGTCTTGTCAGCTCTCTTAACTTGATGACAGAATCGACGATGTCCATGTCCTAAAGACAAGAACCCGCAAAAGTTGCTCCATTATCGTCGCCATCTTTTGTTTTCTTGGCCTGTCGCTACTGTCCCCAGCTTAAACCTACGTATGTATACGGACAGATTTGAGTATCTCATCCCTCTAGTTCTATTCGCACTCTCTCCTGGTTTAATACGACGAAATAACCTTTCTTGTTTTAACTCGTCTTCTGATAATGGCCATCTTAGATACATCAAAATGCGTCTCTCATTTTCAGCCGTCTTCTTTCGAATTTTAAGTAGGGTATCGCATGAAAATTCCGCTATTTTGTTGAATTGCAGTAGTCTGCTTAATTTATGTCTTAGTCCAGACATAAGAAAAGTCCGTTGTTTCAAAAGGGACCGCTTTTCTCGTGCTATCTGTAATCACACGTTTCATATAATTCGAGGCGGCTAGTCCAATATGGATTTATTATAAAACATAATCATTCTCATCCACATCTAAAATGGGACTATGAATACAAAAGCAAGTCCTTCTTTCATGTTTTTGCCACAAAATACAAAAGCAAGGTCGATTATAGTAAGTTTGTCAAGTTATATCTTTCAAGTTTTAGGAAGTGGTCCCTAAGGCATGCCTTAATCATTTGAATAATTCCTTGTTCACACGCAATTAGGAGAGCTTAATATAATGTTTTTAATTGCAAGTGGTTCAAATTGAATAGCAATGAGCTCTTTTGGATACTTCATCTCCCTTTTTTTTTTTTCTATATTTAATTCATTTTCTTGTTCTTGCGTAATTATATTATCCCGAAGTATGGCAATGCTCTTCCAATGGACCCGCCATGACGTGCAAAAATGTTATCCAGATTTTTTTTTGCACGAAGCCCTCTTGCTTTTTCGTAATTTTGAGCTGACTATTAAATTTTATCGAAGTCGTGGCTAATGTGAACACCTGGCAAAAGCACGTGGAAGACTAGATCCAAGTCAGACAAGTTGTAGTTGATTCCCGTCGCCAATGAGCGATGGTAATATCTCGTTTTCTCCTAAGGATGTTCAAAGATTCTTCTAATTTGTTTTGTGTGTCTCTAGCCATTTTCACCATATGCTTTTAATATACGCGTAAATCATGGGGCGTTCACTTTGAATCATGTGTGATAGAATTTTTTAAATATTTAACCACCGATTCATCTAACAGCTTAAACAGTTTGAACATTTGACTATGAGATGAATGCGCGATTTAATAGTTAAATATTATACTAATATAATAGTTGGGAATTCAGCCTGAATAGAGCAGAAATCAGCATGAAGAACCAAGAACAGGAAAGGAGACGAGTTCATAAGTTGACAAGTAAAGACAGATGAGAAATCAATCGATGTTTTTGGTCTCGATGGAGTTTTGGTCATAACTTCAGACCAGTTCTTGAGTTGACAAGTTCATTATAGTCTCAAGTATCACGTCTTTTCAATTCCATGTAATTTGATTGTGAGCAAGTTTAATTACAACGCAATTTATATTTCATTGCCCTGAGATTTGAGTAGTTTCGTCGCTGCATTCAAGTCTTGTTTGTGCGCTTTGTGCTCGGGTGTGGAACTGTGATGCAGTCTTGGTCGCTCTCTAATCGACTTAATTAGGATTGCCCTTGTGCATTTCTATATATTGCGGATCTTTGCTTGGTTACAAGATCAAATTGATACAAATGATTAATAAGCAACAGCTCGATGAAAAAGCATAAAAAGTGTTTCTGCGTATCGCTCAATGGGTACCATAGCCTCCTTTTCACACATCAAACAATATTCATCTCCTTAGTCCGACTAGAAGTCTGTTATAATTTGGCACCAAGAGGTTGTCTTATATGAAGATCGTACATGAAATCTCAAGCTTCTTGAGACATAAGAACTCACTCCCAAAGAATCAGAAGGACGAGGAAGAGGTATAGGGAAGATAGGTGATCTAGTAAGAGCAAGTCTACCGCCAAGTAAATCGATCCGGAAGTTGTGCATTCAATTGATCCTGTCTAGGACAAACTACTTAATTTGGTATTGCCCACCCTAATAGCATTTCTTGAGATAGCAAGTAGGGTTAGGTATGCTCATCTACTAGGACTTAGGAACAAATTTTTACCACCAAGCAAGTGAATCCCAAAGAGGTGCATTCAATGCAAGATTGAACCATTTTAGGACCCATTTCCTTAATTTGGTGTTCACCTTCACCCAAAGAATATTTCGTTGAGCTAGTGATTAGGGTTTGGCAGATGGATTTATTATGATGCCAAAAATAGTGCTCTCAGCACTTATTGCTCCTCTCCTAAAGCTAAATTGGACAGCTACTTCAGAATAGCGACCGCAGGAATGAAACTGCGAAAACGAAACCATGATGAATTTGTTTGGGTCCTGAGAAGACTGACCTCGGGTTCGAGTCGTTTCGACGCCACCGGTTAGAATCATGAATTCACAAACTCTGGGTGTCTGTAGATTCATTGCTGAGTCCTGTTGAGGGCAAGGGATGGTAGGTAACTGCTCATTTGTCAGCATCAGAATACAAAGCGGAAAAGCTAACACTGGCCAAGTGCACTTGCCAAGGTGAACGAAATTCTCAGCAATGATACTCTGCCATGGCGACAAGTCATTTTATGTTTCGCCAACGCTAGAATTAATTAAGAAAAGATTACGATTTTCAGCGTTTTAACTGTTCTTGTAATAAGAAAAAGAAACTTGTCTCGTGACATCTAGCTAACATTAGCCATTCTTTTCTCTTGTTTGAGATTTGAATTTATCTTAATATGGAATTTTTGAAATCTTTAAAGCCGCACGACCGTTAGCTGTTCAGAACAATTTGAGTTATTGTAATTATGCATAAGTTTTTTTTAATTAAAATAAGCACTTAAAAAACTTTGTCCTGTATA